ACTGTTGCCCGCGATATAGTGTGAGCACCCGTGATCAACGTTGTCCGTGACAGCTGTCACTCTCAACTTATACCTTCTGTCACCCGCGACCACCGTCGCCCGTGACTATATCCGTCACCCGCGAGTCTCGTCGCCCGTGACCATTGTCGCCCGTGACGTAAATATCCGTCACCCGCGATTGTCATCGCCCGTGACTTTTGTTGCCTGCGACTGCAATGTTTGTCACCCGCGACTATAGTCGCCCGTGACCGACATGACCGTTACCGTTAGAGCAGTCATTGGTGACCACGTTTGTTACTGACCACGTTTTTCCTGAGATCATCACGTCAACCGTGACGACGGTACACCAACCACGTCCGAGTGCGACCACGTGACTAGAACCACGTGGACTGCTACCACGGGACTTGCAACAAAGTCTGCCACAATCACGTTGCTTGTAGGCGGAAAACGATAACTTTGTCGAGAAATTAAAAATTTGCCGCTGCCGAGGAGGCACAAAAAAAAACCTAACTCCGGAAGCTCGCTAGTGAGTAAAAAGAAATTTTTTGTTGATACGACCGTCAGGGTCTAGTCGGTACCGCATAGGGGGGTTGGGCCCTCCTGCCTTGGGGGTGGGATCCCCTTCTTCAAGGAAGATGCACGCCGCTTCGGTGCTTCGCCGATTTGGAGCCCACCGCCCACCGCCGATTTGGAGCCGTAGCACCTAGTTTGTAACTAAGGGAGGGAATATGGCTTCGCCACTTCGGGAGCCCACCACTCGGGAAGAGATGGCAAAGGTGACCAAACTGCACAGGGAGGGAATACGCCCTCGCCGAGTCGGGAGCCCGCTGCTTGGGAGGAGGGAGGTAGGTGGCCGAACTGCACAACATAGGGAGGGAATACGCCTTTGCCGCTTCGGGAGCCCACCGCTCGGGAGGAGGGAGGTGGTAGAACCGCACAGTACGCCTTCGCCGCTCCGGAAGCCCGCCGCTCGGGAGCAGGAGGGAGGTGACCGAACTGCACAACACGAACGCATAGGGAGGGAATACGACTTCGCTGCTTTGGGAGCCCACCGCTCGGGAGGAGGGAGGTGGTAGAACCACACAGCACACCTTCGCCGCTCCGGGAGCCCGCCGCTCGGGAGGAGGGGGAAGGGTGACCTCCCCCTGCACAGGAAGGGAAGAAATCATGACACGCCTTTGCCGCTCCTAGAGCCCGCCACTCTTCGCTTGAGAACCAAAACACCTTGACTTCTACTCTCGAGACCTGGACTGCAGAAGCAATTCTTCTCAAGTTTTTTCACAACCCGAGCAATTTCTCCTCTACTCCTACTACTGCAGAACCAAACCTAAGAGAACTTTGTGATTTCTTAGTCGCAACAGATGTCAAAGTACTTAGTAACTCAACCACAAATTGAGAATTAGCAATCTGAAATTGAATTGATACTTCTGATACTCTCAAAAGCTGTTTACAAAGTTCTGAAATAAGCCGTAGATTTTGAGACTACACAGACTGTCAATTCAGAAAACTAAAACTTGCAAATTGTCGATTCGGAGAAAAACCAAAAAACCTCACAAACTATCGATACAGAATGCTGAATACTTACAAACTGCCGATACACAAAGCTGAAAACTTACAAACTGCTGATACAGAAAGTTGTACACTTACAAACTGTCGATGCAGAAACCTGAACACTTACAAACTGTCGATGCAAAAAACTGAACACTTACAAACTGTCGATGCAGAAAACTAAACACTTACAAACGGTCGTTACAGACAACTGAACACTTACAAACTGTCGATACAACTCTGAATCGTAACCTTGCTCTGATACCAATTCTTAACGAAAAACGAGGAATCATTCAAGAAACACGAGACACAATCATATAACGTGGTTTACCCTCAGGGGCTACGTCCACGGCTGAAGTGCACGAGAAGCTTTACTTAAACTAAATACACAATACTGCTTCAAAGAAGCCTTGGCCTTGGGGGTATATTTATATCCAAAGCGAGCGACACACCTAGCTATAAATAGCTATAACTTGAGGTTACTCCTTAACCGGAGTTAACCTCAACATAAAATGTGACCTTGATTTTGGTGTTTTGAAAAAAATGTATTTACAAAACATATAAAAAATGATATAATGATCATATTATATGAATACAATACAATGTAATAGATATACAAGTCAAGTCAAACACACTACGAACACATACACACAACCAATACTTTACATATGTGCTTCATCATTGGAGTTAATGCTCTAGTTATAAGTTCTCTTTGTTCACAAAAACTTGCAAGCTGTTTCCAAAATGTTCATGATTATTCTTATCTAATGTTAGTCAAAAGAGTACTCGAATTAGCTCAAAAAGAATTTTGGAATAAAATAAAATAAAGGCAATGCTTATTGCTTAGTTTCAAAGTAACAAACTCAAATGAAATGAAATAAAAAGCGTTAATATCATGAAAATTTGCATTACTTGTAAAATATTTAGAATTATTCATTAAATCAAAGATATTCATTTTTTTATTGTAAAAAAATCATACTTTCAATATAATAATTTTCTACAATTTAAAAAGTGAAATTTAACATTATAAAAATTATGACTTTAGAATAATAAATTTTAAATTTTTTTCAAAACTTAAAAAAATACGAAATATTTTTTAACCTGATATTTATATAGATGGATATTATTATTTACTTCTTAAATGTAACATAATTTATAAATGTTTATAATTTAATTGGAAAAAATGTGAAATATACAAACAAATTAGTTTGCAATATGCATAGTATTATCTCCTCTAACATGATTCAAATCATTAAACTATTTCATATATTTTTATATACATTTTTAAAAAGTAATGAAAATAAAGATGCCACTCATCTTAAATATATAAACACTTTTTGAAGAGAAAAATATAAGTATGATTTTTCAGTTGAACAGTCATATGGTAGAAAAGATATCGAATCTAAAAAGTTGTAATCTAACACACAAATATTAATCTATTTTGATGTAAAAACTACAAAATAAAATGTTGATATTTAAAATTATATGTATTGGATATATATATATATATATATTCGGATTTTATTACTTTTAAAATATTTGACTTGAATATAATCAAATTCATTTTAAGTAATGTTAAATATAATAATTTACATACATTTTAGATATTTTTAGGAAATAAAAAATGTTTTTTAAATTAAATATATTGCATTGAAGATTTTAAAATTTATGATCTGATATGAATATATAAATGAGTTTAAAAATTTGTATTCTAAAAATGAATAAAAATTATTATCATAAAAAATAAAATGAAATTATTTTCATAAGCGAGAATTTAATTCAAATTTTTTATTAATAATATATTATTTATCTTAAATTAAAAACGATATTTTGAAACGCATTATTTTAAAGATATTTTTCATGTTGGGAAAAAAAGTTAAATACTATAATATAGTAAGAAAGTTGTTGATCATATGAAAGATGGCTGAACATGAATTTTATATATAATGATTTCATTTTATTTATCATGATTCATATACCAAAAACTTAAATTCATAAGTATTTCTCACGAATATTATTCATGATACGTTATTTGTATAATTTACTCTTCTATTTTAAATACTTTTGATCTCATTTTTTTGATGTTAGGAGATATATTGTGCAGTTTTTTGTTTTAAAATTACATGCCTATAGTATTTAAAATACAGCCTTGAAAAGTCAGATCAAAATACGTGTTTCAAACTGGACATATTGTCATACATTCTAATATTTTAAAAACACAGATTTTAAGTATTCATTGTCAGGTTGTTTAAAGATCATTTTTTAAACTATAAAACGTAAATTATAAATACACTATTTATGTTATTTATATACTTGTGTAGATATATATATATATTTATGTGGATTTCTAATTACAAAGTGAACGCTAATTTGTACAAGAATTCGCTTCATATCTTAGGACTTACGAAAATTTCCACGCATATTTAAAAAATATATATATGTAAATGTGAAGGTTCTTCTAAAGATAATTACATTTTCTTTTTTAATCAATATTTATATATTGTAAAAAATATGAACATTCAAGTTCACGGAAAAGCTAAAAGCTATGGCTGACAAGCGAGTCACATTCTGCGTGTTATATATATATATATATATATATATATATATAACAATCTAAGTTCAGATTTACCATCACTTAAATAATTTTATGAACAGAAATATCTCATACTGAGTAAAAATAGTTTTTGTTTTAGATTTCACTCATAGTGAATCTAAGAAACTATTTTTCTCTTTAAAGCTAGGTATGTTATATAAAAGAAATTATATCAAAAAAAGTAGCCTTCAAATGAAAAAGTTTCAGTAACCACCTCTGGTTTTCTGATAATTTTTTTATCAACTAAGTATCTAGTTGGAAAGGTAAAATCCATAAATGTAAAATCATAATTTTGTGAGTACAAATAATCGGATACCCTGGATCTAGCAGAGGAACGCTCGTATCCAGTGGAATCACTGACACTGATACATTCACATTTCTTCTTATAAATGAATAGTATACATGTACAATGTTGTTTCCTTAATCAGCTCATAAAGGGAATGTTCTGCATTGAGCTGGATCAATGTAAAAGTCTGCGGATCCACGATCCACAGTCATTTTTTTCGTAGTGAGCACAGTTGTACGGATGTACACACAAAATGATCGGTGGTCAAGCTAAAATTCGCCGATATATTAACAACATTGATACTCACCAGCGCTAATCATCCCAGAGAACTACCAGTAGAAATGTCGGATAAAAAAAGTAAAATCACGAGCTTGAAAACTTAGCATGCTCTCCTGCAAAGCGAGCATATTATTTATCTTTCCGATGGATCTACAAAACAAGAGCGAAGGAGGAGTGCACAAGGAAATGGACAAAAATGGAAAGAGCACGGGGAGTCCTGCTTGCCTGATTTGGACACACGGGGGGCGGGGGAAGCCCATCCATCGTACATACAGTAGAGGGTCGTCGTCGTCGAGTGAGGACATTAGAGCCGAGGACAAAACTGGAGGTGCATCATTAATGCGCTGGCGAGCTCGAGCGGGACACGGCGATAGATGAACAGAGGGAGGTTTTCTTCTTCCGGCACAGTCCATCCATTGGAAGGAGGAGGAGGAAGACGAGGAGCAAAAGAAGAACGAAATGCAAGTTTGAATTCTGGAGCAGGCCGATTCACGCGCCGAGACCAGCCCCGCTGCCGAGTGTCGTCGTCGTCCTTCCGCTCGACGTGAGGACGAATTTTGGTGTTCGTTGGAGCTTCGTCGACGTTGCCCGAGCGCCCGAATCGGCAGTTTGCGAATTTCTCCACCGTCGCCTCGCTTTGTTCTTCGACCTTCTGTCGGGGCCTGGGCGTGTGCGATGGCCGTGGGCGAAATGGCGTGCATTTTTCGCGGGCGATTGTGCTGAAAAACCTGTATTTTTGGCCCGCTTCTGGTGTTTCACAGGTATTTTCTCCAGAAACTCACCGAGTGAACTCCCTTACAGTTGCACAGGATTACAGTCGTCGTCATCCTCGTTGTGGGGACCCTGTTTTCAGTGAGCTTCATGTTACTTGTCCTTCTACTTCCAATTTCAAGAAGTGGAACAGTCACGATTTTTTATCCACCTTCGACACTGAAAAGAAGTTTCGACCTGACGTTTAGGGATGGCCTTTTTGAACTAGCTCAGCCTGTCTCCGAGGTCTAGGTCGACCTGCCTTCATGATTTTATCCTCGAAAATTGATGTCATCGGAGCATGTGACTTTTGTGTTTTGCAAGCGCAAGCTGCAATACAGGAAATATCTGCGTGATGCACTTGCAACTGAAGTGCACGAACTCTCTTAGGTCGCTATATATTTATCGTGTCGATGTCTTCTTGATTGTCTACAAGACTGTTTTTTATTTTACGGACCTCGGTTGCACTCTTGAACTTGCAGCACAAAATATGACGGTAGAAACCTTTTGACTGGAAGCATATTGCGAAGGCAATCTTGAGGAAAATTACTGAACAGTGGTTTGTGTTCGATTAGTAGTACTGGTCATCACAACTTGAATGCAAAGAAGCAGTCTGTAGCTGCAGTTGTTTGTTGTATCGTGCATATATATGCTGTCATAAGTGCTCATGTTGGTTTCGTGCTGACTTCAACCGGAATGGTGTATGCAGCCAATATCAGTGACACTAGCGAAGGTGTGGGAAGAAACTTCTTGATTGTATCAGGAAACAGTAGGCAGATTTTTCTCTGGAGGATTGTGTAGTGCTGTGGTTGGGCATCGGAGGGGTTCCTGTAATCTAGATGAGTGGAAAAATATCACTTGTACCCGGGAAGATTCTGGATGGTGGACATTGCTCTCTCAACAGGTTATATTTGGAACTTTACTTAAAGATATGAACTATGCCCAGTGCCGGCAAAGAGTTCGGCTGGCTGGAAATTGGAAGTACGGAAGTTTGTTAAGCAGATTTGACAGCGGGTGAACAGCGAAGTTCCAAAGAGGGATGCGACGAGGGATCCTTGGGTTCATCTGCTCCTCAACAACTCTGCAAGGAGAAGTGGAACCGATCGTTTTAGCCTATTTGGGTCTCGATGGATTTTAAGTGGCATCAGCTCTATTAGTTTGGCTTGATTCAGTTTGCAGTATTTAGAAGGAAGGAATCTTTGAGCTGTTAGGTGAATGTGCTCGTGGAAGCTGAGACGGAGCTTGAGGGAACTTTTTCTGTGAAAACTGGACTAGTTCTACGAGCTAAGGTTCGAAGCTGAAGATACAAAGCTGCTGCAATGTTTTATTCTCAGTTCATCCTTGCCAAAAAAGGTCCATTAGGGACAATATGGATTGCGGCGCATTTGGAGCGGAAGCTCCGCAAGAACCAAGTCACAGAAACGAATATCAGTGTCTCTGTCGGTAAGCTCCTAAGTTCGTTTACCTGGCTGATTTTTTTCTTAGATGCTCAATGGAAATGATGGTCTCTGGGCAACGTGGGAAGCATATGTTGAGAATTGGTGTGCTGTGCAACAGTTTGAAACTTCTACACTGGTGTTTGCCATCTGTTCTTTGTATTCCGTGTTTATTTAAAAGTTTTTGGCTCTGATCACTTCAAAATGAAGAGCTTTGTTCATACGAAGCGATTGTTAAATGCAACATTATCTGTGGCGAACTCAAATTGAGAATGTACAGAGTGAAGCTTTGGAGGCAACATCCTACTCCTTGATGTGTAAGTCGTGGTGTATTAGCAACCAACTTCAAGCGTCAAACAAGACAGCATAGGGATTAATCTTCTAGGAGTGTAGCTTTCTTGCCATGCCTGACCCCATGGATGTACTAAAAGAATGTCGGTAGCACCCGCTGAGGCCGTAGCTGCGACTGAAAAACCACCTGGATAAACTTCGCTGGAGATGATTAGGAGATGATTAGGACGACACAATAGAGCACATCTGTCTTTCAATCAATGATATGATTTGACGGTTTATATGTGATGGATGTTTCCGACACACTCTAAAATGTAACCTCAGCTCATGGAAATGGCGAAGGAGTGTTTGTAAGACTGAAGTCTAATTTTTACATGTGCTACTTTTTGGTCCACCGATGGTGGTTCTTACGTCAGTTCACACACCGCTATTGCTACGCTACGATATATTTTTGTCATTCGCGGGTCCTGTTTGGTATCCTGGAGATTTATCCCAATCTCGCTTAACTGCAATCATGTCTCGCATGGGAAGCACACAAACTAATCTGTCTATTCAGTATTCAGTAAACTATTCCGTAAAAAATAGATCTAGGTTTACGTTTATCAAATCTCTGAGTCGTGTGACTTCTTGGCATTCAGCTATACGTCGTGGCAACTAGCCGCGGACCATATCACCCTTGGAATCTAAACCTAGATCTATTGTAACTTATATCCGTTTTTTTCCTCCTCTACTCACCACGTTATGCACCTCTGATTCTTATCACTCATAATTGCATGCTATAATTTTCCTCGCAACTTGGGATGCTCTCCCTGTCTAGGATCGCCTGCCTTTAAATCGCCCTGAGATATGTCATGCTCATCTAAAGCCCTTCTGATTTATCTCAATGTATGACTTGCACAAGTGCTTTGCTCTATAAGGTGTGCATAATCACGCTTCCTTGCACTTACTAATATGTTTGTTATATGCTCGCCTCATGTCTGCTTACGGTATATCTGTTCGCTGGCCAACGGCGCATGTGTTTGTAGGCTTGTTATGTGCTTGTCTTCTCTCTCTATATTGTATATTTCAACGCTTGTCAACGGGGCGTGTACTCTATGGCTGCCATGTGCTTGTTACATGCTTATCTTAACTATCAGTACTGTCTTTTCTTGTAACTTTGTGATGCTTACAAGGTCAACCCTTGGTGTCATTAGTTTGATAGCTTTTTGGCCCATTCCTGTACTTTGATTGGCTTTTTTACCAGGAGAAGATGTAGGCTTTGTATTCTATCTTGTTTGAAAGTTGTGATCATAATTTGGGATGTGGGACGAGTAATTCTTACCTTCAACGTTATCTTCGATTATATTCATCCCATAATCATTTCGAGGCGTTTGTTATCCTTTCATATTGATGATTTTTGTATGTATGTGGGCGTTTTGACAGATTCAATTTTGTTCCCAGAAGTTCCCATTGCTTTACGATTGTCAGGGCATCTGCTTCTGGGAGTTGTGCGAATCTATTCTCGGAAAGTGAATTATCTCTTTCACGATTGTAGCGAGGCTTTAGTGAAAATCAAACAGGCATTTCATGCGGGAGCGGTTGATCTTCCGCCTGAGGCTGCAACAGCACCTTTTCACTCAATCACTCTCCCAGAAACATTTGACTTGGATGAGTTCGAACCTCTCCCGGACAGAGAGATGCACTTGCTTCACTCTAATGGGTATTTCTCTTGATTTTTATCATCAAACAAATGCTTTGCTTTGAAACTTTCGCCACCACCACTTTGCGAACAACATTTAGTTAGCTTCGGGTGGTCGTAGTCTCGGTGAAAGTTACCTTTAAGAAACTCTAGAATTCGAGAAGGATGATTTAGCAACATTCCAACTGACAAATGTTTTATTGGAGTTATACTCAGAGCGGTTGATCATCACGTGACCACCCGTGAGCAGATTACTTTGCAAGATCCATTGGAGGATAGTAGCTACTTGGAATCGCAGTTCGGTCTGGATGGTAATAAATGCGATACTTAGAAATCCATATCTGTTTCCTTGCTTTCCATACATATTTTCTTCGGCATGCACGAATCTGTTTCATAACTAGTAGTTCTTTCCGTATCGTTAGTTACACTATGTTTGGGTGATGGTCTCCCAAGGAACAAGAAGTGGATCATATTCCCCTAATGGAGGATTGTGCTCATGTTGCTATGATGTGCAGAAAGGTTTCCAGAAGGTGATGTTCCACGAATGGGCATAGATTTTGACGAGGTAAATATTCAAACTCTTTGTTCAGCCCAAACATATATTTTGAACTATCAGTTGTCCACCGCAACTATAAATAAGAAGGATTGAGACTGCAATGCTTCTTTAATATTTCTGCATGATTGTATCTCGCATTCAAATGTGAGAGAATTCTCCCCATCTTTACTGTATGACCAAATCCTGACCCCTACAGAAGTGCGAATTGGATGAATATTCTTCGGTCGATTTTAGGCCACAGTAGTCCATTTATAGCAGATGTTTACGATCAAGATTGGTTCTGATCATACTTTGTGATTACAGGACTTACTAGACAAACCCTCTAGGGAGGCAAGTCCAGATGCTGTGACTTTACAAGAAGAGTAAGCTCTTGTAAATCAACTCTATGTTTTAAACTTGTTTAGCTCTTTTGGACTGTAGACATTTACTCCTATTGTGTCAATTTTCCCTCTTGGGAAGTTGAGTCTACATGAGATGATGTTATTCTTGGGCTTTCCATTTGCCAGTAGTACTAAACACGTCGTCTTATTTGCAATATTCAGTCCAGTGTATCACCAAGTCAGTCGTTGACCGGTATTTATGTACTCTTGGCAGTGAGGTTTTACGGGTAAATATGGGGGACGGCATGGACTATGACGAAATGGATAGGATGGAGCCCATGGACGTGGACGATGATCATCATGAACCTGGTACACCTGCGCTCGGTATGGACATGGATTTGGATTATCAACCCGAGGCAGAAGGTATTGAGGATGGTGATTTGAACAGAAGTCCTGGTATGATTGAGGATTTGGAGCGTGATCGCCATTCTGAAGAGATCGAACACGACAATTTTGAGCTTGAGTTGAACAAACCAGATCAGTTAGAACCTGCTACGCCTGGAACACTTGAAACTGAAGAGGACGAAGGGAAGGGAGTGTTTGTCGAGGAGGCAGATAAAGAAGAGAAGGTGGACGAGGAAGAGACTGCGGAGAAGCCAGGAATTGATGACCATGTTCAGAAGGCGGACGAAGAAGAGCCCTCCTTCGAGAAAGAGGAAGTAGACAAACAGGAGGTGGTCGAGGACGAGAGGGCTGGTTTAGAAGTTGAGCGGGAGACTTCTCTGGAGAGAGAGAGAGAGGCAGAGCTACTGGGAGAAGGAGTGGGAGAAGGAGAAAGGCAAGGAGAAGCAGAGGGAGAGGTAGAAGTAGAGGGTGAGGTCGAAGGAGACGTGGAGGGCGAGGGTGAGGGTGAAAGATTAGGAGGGTTACCCAGAGAAGATGATGGTAAGCTTGATGTGGACTATAGTCCCGAGATGATCACTGCTGAGGAGGATGGCAAGGTGGATGATGAGAACAAACAAGAGGTGCCGGAATACGAGACAGTTATGTCCGCAGTTGAGGTTCCAAACCAGGAACCTGATGTGTTTGATCTTGACCAGGATATGGAGAGGGAAATGCCATTCAAAGACCAAGATGTGTTTGTAGAAGATAAGGACCCAATGTTAGTAGAAGACAGAGAGGCTGTTATGCAATTGGACGACCCAATATTAGGAGCAGGGGAACCTGTCTCTCCTGTGAACTCTCCAGCCATGCCGATGTTCAACCCAGATGCTCTTCCGGGGGATGACGACGTGCTAGCCTCACTGCTAGGTACGTTGTGGATTACTGCTGAATAGCTTTGGATGTGAGGAAGTCCATCACTTTGTCGAGTGCCATATCAGAAGATACGAAGTCTTGCTATGTCATTTAGTAACCAGATTTTTTATCTTCAGAATTTGGATTGGTGATTTTTATTGTCCTTAACCTTAATCTTCAATAGTGTCATATTTTCTTCGCAAAATCGCTGTTCAGTTCAGTAATCTAAGGAAACATGGAGATGGCAAGCTCATCAGAATCGGAAGAAAGATAATTTACTATCATTGACTTAAAACATGGGACGAAAAGTCTCCTTATGCAAATGAAAGGAGCTATAGTATCTCGTATTGAACATATTAAGTGCTCGTATTGCATTGACAGGTAGGGGTACTCCTGCACTGAAGTTGATACCTACCCCTAGCGAGACTGTTGCTGTGCCTAAACCTCGTCGAAAGCAGGGGCAAAGGAAAAGGAAGATTGTGATGGACATGACTACAATCCTACCTGCAGAGTGAGTCCACATTCACTGCAAAGATATCATCAGTAGTTTTTGAGGGTCATGCACAGGTTCATAGTATGTGTGTGGATTCGCCTTCTTTCCTCATTTTCGACTGGTTAGCTGTGATCAGTGGACTACATTCTTGGATAATCGGATGGATGGATGAATGAATCTATGGGATACTTGACGTGGAGAATAGGTTCTAATTGATGCTGTGTGTTTTTTAGTGTGATGCGGGAACAGCTCATGAATACTGATGACATACGTAGAGTTCGGAGAAAGGCTCCATGTACTAGACAGGAGCTCTGGAGTGTCCAAAAAGATACTTTGGGTCAGCAGATCTTTTGTGAACATTCTGTACCCGGTACTTCTTTATCTAACCTTTTCGGTTGATGGTATTAAATATCTCGATTTGTTGGTTTTCTACCGTTAGAGTTGCGATTCTTATATAATATATTCGTCTTTCTAAGAGAATATATTTTCCACTCAATATTTCCAACTTGGTTGCTGGCAATTAGATCCGCAGTTATTGCCCGTGACTACATTTCTTTTCCATCTTGTAAAGAATGTTCATGAGTTGTTCCTGGTGTACTGGCTATGAGTGGCAAATACTGATGGGTACAGTATTAACTGCTCCGCCCGGATGCCACATTCCTCATTGATCGAAAGTCGAAGATCGAGGATGTTGACATGCATACAGGCGTGAACTTTTCCGCCTCTACAGAGTACAGAAAAGAAAATTATCATAAGAGGCTGCGCTTAACACAAACTATGATCGGACCATTTTGTGAAAGTATTTGATGCGAGTTCATTTTGGTGATAAGATCTCAGCCCTGCCCGATGCCGGATATTGTACACAGTTATTATAAGATATAGGTAGTAAGAGATCATCGAGTCCAATCACACGAGTATTACGTCTGAGATCCACACTAGATTGTGCTGTGGGAACGTGTATTCAACATTCTGAACTTGCTTTTGTTACCTTTGATCTTGAATTTTATATCCTTTGAGAAGAGAAACAATGACGAAAGTTAGAGAGGATCTGGGAGGTTTTCCGAGGCTAGCACACCTTCTCTCTCTTTTCAGTCCTACTATCGAGGTTCCTTACCACTATCATATATGTGTGCGAACAAGTTAATTCATGTGTTCTTACTAATGTGTTATTCTTTTACTTCGTAGGTCTTTGTGGCGATCTGCGGATATTATTTCAGCGAGTATATGTTGCCGGTGAAGCCGATTTACCATTGGCTGACGATGGTCAAGCCGAACCATCTGTTAGTGAAGCAGCTCCTGAACAGCAAGAGGCATTTCCTCTTGATGACGCTGCGGGAGAAATGCAGGTGGATGCCGAAGTGGCCGAAGTGGCTGAGGCTCATGTTGAGCTAGTTATAGAGGATCAAGTGTTGCAAGTATCTCCTAATGAGCGGCTCGAAAAGGGTGCGTCCAGTATGCTCCTTCAGCTTCACATGTGTCTACTCATTTTCTGTCTTTCAACAAAGCATAACGTATGTATTTCACTAATATGATGGGCTGTGGATGCACGAGGAAAGCCTTCCAAGTTTGCTAACTTTGTTGAATCGCTGAATTTACCTGCCCTATGTTTACGTGTTGTTGAGTCGATGAACTTGTGGATTTTCATTGAGTTCATTTTAGCTGGCCGGGCTGAATCTGAACTTCTCTTGCTCTCTTAATTTGTTATGTGGTTGTTCAGAAGCAGATGCGGCGCCCGTAGAAGTAATGGCAAATGAGGCTCCTCGAGAACCAGACGAATCTCAAAGTTTGGATGATGGCCAAGATGCAGGAAAGGCGTTGCCGCCTATTCAGTACGATGAAGCATCTCCTGTAGACGGTGCCGTAGCTGAGGCTGTAGAAGCGGAGACAACAGATGCCTACCGCACTCCAGCTGGTGGGTGTTTTTTGGAAACAAATGCTAAACTCATCATTTTCATTTTCTTTTGGGTGGAACATTTCCTCTTCTGTTTTAGTAAACAAGAATGGATTACAGTTGAGGCGGATAACCGAAATGTGCAAATTGCACTTCACATTTAAAGCAAACCCCACCATTTGAATTTAGGAAGAATTGCAGTCCTGGGTATTATCTCGTTATAGGTCGAAGGCCTTGCACTTCATGATCTGTCTAGGTGGTGGGAGTTACAGACAGGAAAATGTCCATGAGACTATAGGAGACCAATTCGAGTAGCATTGCCAAGTCATGATTACGATGAGATTAAAACATGGTCGTGCTTGCAGAAATTGTTAACGAGGATGGGGCCCAATTCTCGACATTAGAGGTATCGATTGAGGAAAAATCTCCCAAAAGTCCTACTACAGAAGAACCTTTGCTTGGGCTGGAGCAGGAAGTAGTTGAAGAGAGGGAGGAGGTTCCGTCCGTGAATAAGGAAGTTGATGGGGACAGTATCACAGCACCTGCCACCGAGGTTGTCGTTGTAGTTGATGCTGAGACTGAGGCTGAGGCTGAGCTTGATGTCGAGCCCATCCAGCCTGAGGTTGAGGCTGCTGGTCCTGCTGAGCCTGAGCCTGAGCCTGAGGTGGAGGTTGACCCTGTGCAAGTTGCTGAGATTGTGAATGAGGACGTTCCTGAGGTTATTATGGAAGAAATGCTCGAGCCTATCCCTGAGATGCTGCCTATGAATATTGCCGAAGACAGCAACGTAGATGAGCAGAAGAGCCTCGAAGGAGAGTTTGTTGGTACAAAGACAGATGATCCAGAAGTTGCTTCACCTCCTATTCAAGTCGAAGAAGCTAAGACTCCTGAAGAACAGCCTCCTGTTGAAGTGAGTGTGCATGTCTTTGTGTATCTTTCTATCTGTTGAAATCCTTGCGATGACATCCAGGAGACTCATAGTTATCAAATCGACTAGGCTGACCAGTGTTGTATCGTCTGAAGTCTTGTAGGCAATATTTTAACCTGTTTTTGTTTGCTGTTACACGCAGGAGCTCGGTTTTCTCGCTGACTCCAGAGATACTGGTACACATCATCTCTTCTTTCAACTGATTCTTTTCATGCAAGTTCGTTACTGCATTTGTAAAGGTGCACGATTTTAAGTATGTGCGACTAGAATGTTGGAATCCAATTTTAAGCTTTTTGCATGGTCAATTTTAGTTTGATACATGTGGGTTTGGCACGTTTGTAGTATTTCTGGCGGCGGATGACGATGATTTATGTGAAGAGGCTGAGGATTTCCAAGATGGCAACGACTACGGACAAAAAGAAACTTTAGTCCAGGACAATAGCGGTTGGTCAGCAAGAACGAGGTCCATTGCCGCTCCTCAATGCCCTTTTTTTTTTTTTTCTCGTTGTACGTTAATGCCTGCTTTGCTTGATTACTCGTGATCTGTGCACTCCTTTTGGTATTTTTCAGCGTAAAGCTTACCTTCCTGACTCATCGATGCAGGGCTGTCGGACATTATTTGAGATCAACATTAGAGAGCAAAGATGCACACATGAAAAAGAGGGAAGAAGAGGGAATTCCAAAACTTGGACTTGATCAAATATTGGTTGGAAAGTCCAGGAAAGAAGCCGCTCGAATGTTTTTCGAAACATTGGTATATGTTCATGGCCCTCCTTATCACAAACTATTTCTCAAATTTTTCAAGTGGATGATTAGTGTTGCTAAAGTTTCTTCTGACTCTTCTAAGTCTCATATTTACCGATGCTTCGATGACAGACTTCCAAATGGGGTAGTTTAGAAGCCCAAGTCGGGATTGAAAATGGGATATAGGTCGGAATCTTAAGCTTGATTTGTTATGCAGGTTTTGAAGACGAAGGACTACATTCATGTTGAACAGGATGTCCCGTACGGTGACATCCAAATATCAGCACGACCTAAACTTCTGAAGGCGAACTTTTAGAAGTTGGCGGACGTGTTTTAGATGATCATAGACAGCATGTATTGTATTTAGGATAAAGATGAAAGTTATTATACTTAGGAGAGATCCCCTTAGCCATTTTATCAGGGATTGTAGTGATCCATCTTGTCACATGATCATTTGTCCACTTAGGAGTGGTCTGTTAGTGAAAGTTTGAACGTAATTTCAGACGAAATTTGTAATTGTAACTGTTAAACATTCCATCTGTAAAGAATTATGTGTGATACGATGTCGCCAGGAGTGAGATTGTTTTCTTTTCCTTTTGTTTGAAAAGGTGCGCGGCAAGTAGCCGAAGGTAATGTCCAGGTGAAAGGTTCAGATGTTCCACATCAGATTTATGACCGTAGATCTGAATGATGTCCGCCATTAAGTGAAGCAAGTTTGGAGCCAGTGCTTGGTGAGGAATGCCCAACTCTGCTGGGATGCATTGATTTGTCAATCATTGCATTATTTGGGTTTATGATTAAGTGCGTGAGGAGTAGGTAATATACACTTCCTCGGATCCCCATTGTAATACGGATAGAGAGACAGACCAATAACGGCTGACCAATAACGACTATACGAAAATTAAATGACCAACGTGAGTTTATTCAGCTAATTTTGAAGAGCTACTTAGATCAACTCTTGTGCCTCCCAAATAAATTCCCCGATTTTTGTACGTGGAACAAGCACAGTTCAAGATTCACTTCGTTTTGAGTTTTGCTCGTATGAAATACCAAAATTTATATTTTCATAATTTCATACTAGAGAAGGGAAGTCACTAGTGGAATTAAGTGCTGTATTTGCGAATATATTACAGAATAAAGGTTGCGTTCGGAATAAAAGACAGGACTGGTTTCTATGGTTATTATCGTCAGTCTACATTTCATGCTCGGGGGTCAGTCTACATTTCATGCTCGGGGGTAACCCTCGGCAACTTAAAAGGTAACCGGTGAAGTCATGGGTTTACCTGTATCCAACCTTTTACGTTACACTTAGCACTGTATCCAACCTTTTACGTTACACTTAGCACTATGGTCTACCTTTACCTCTACCTCAGGGTAATTATCCGGTTACCCGCCAATTGGTGTGCGTAATGCGTAATACTCTATGACTTCCTCGGCTTTTGATCCCGTAGATTGAGTGAGGGCCTACTGTCAGTCCAGTCTTGAATTTTCAAACTCACTTCCTAATCTCATCTCCCAATCATGTGCTTTTTTACCATTCCCGCAAACTCATTTCCTAATCTCATCTCCCAATCATATGCTTTTTTACCATTACCGCAAGATAATGTACAGCGATAATTCAAAGGAGGTTGATCTCTCCTGTGGGAATCACAAATGTGTGAGTAATGTATTTAGATGCTTGTTAACGTGATCAAACTAGGTCATGTAATCAACAGTCAAGAAAGAGCGAAAACTTTGATATGTTCTTGAATTCTCCTCCAAGTTCGAGCCTATCAACTCCACATCCGTGCTATCCTTCTTACGGCACAAATCTTCCACTTCTCCCACTACTGCATCAACAACCTCTAACTTCATATGAGACCAAATTATTGCGGCTGGAATTTCAATTAGATACAAGGAAACTACAAGACCGAAAACTAAAATTCGGTCAGTGTGATCGTCAAATTGCAGGCTGTCCGGCACTGTGGTTCTCATTGGCGATCCATCACTGTGGTTCTCATTGGCGATCCATCACATCATGTCTGCGTAGGATGCTTCAGAATGCGATGAGAACTCACGAGAAAAAGGACGAGATCGATTCTTTAGAGCGATGAGAATGAATAGATCCATGATCATTTTTCGGCATAAGATCATGGTTCCTCGATGGATCATCTTCAAATGTGCACGACAGTAGAACTGAGGCCAAAACCGATGTGGTCAAACTACGTCCAGTCCAACGAACGTGGTAGATCGCGGTCTTCAACTCCGAAGAAGAGACTGATAGTGCGAACCAGCCATCGATAACATAACGAGGGGACCCGATAACATAACGAGGGGACCCGAGAAAATTAAACACACTTCCAGGATTAAGGAGTAACTGCACCCAACCTAACTGTAGTAAAGTTCGGGTCTCATGTTCGTGACGAAAATAAAATAATGATACAAATATTACCTTAGAGGTACCTGTGCAAAAGAATGTTCACGTTATTTTTTCCCGAGTTACCCGGTAATTACAGGTAAACCGCGAGGCTCTACCTTTACGTTACCCTATAGCCAGACGTAATACCTTTACCTTTTACACTTATCCAGGGTAACTCTAAAGGGTTATTACTTACTAACTCACTTGGGGGTATCTACTTTTTTTGGGTACAATATTATAATATCAAATGTAACTTAAAAATATATTTTATTCTAAACAGGACTGTAACTTGTGTGCAACAGTATATAATGATTCATCATAATTACTACTAGCAAAAGTTATTTTCCCCTTAGAGAGCCAAAATGATGTCAATAAACGGTTTTTTAAATTTTTCTTCTCCTGATTTACAGCATAAAACATCACAAATACTCGAAACCATTACAGAGCAAACATTACTCTCTACGGTGGAAGTGTGAAGAACAAAGAACTACAGTAAAAGCATGATATATATTCTGAAAGCATTTTACATCAATCATCAGAATCAACATACAGTGAAAGACGTGAAAAACTTCAACTTTCTCGAACTTTATATGCACAATCTGGCCCAACTGCCATGGCGAGACATGATCCTCATATGAATGGAGACTAAATACAAATGAATGTGCTTACAACCTGATTACAATGGAGTGCATTCTAGATGTTTAACAAGTGAAACTGATGGCTAATACTGACAATCAACGCTTCCCAGCGGAGATAAACTAACGCCAATATTGCCTCATCCAATCATCCAGCAAGAAATACAGTCGTATCATGGACTTCAAACAACAGGTTACATGTCGCACACTTGTGACACACTATTTGGGAGAGACCTGCAAAGCTTTGTGTTACCCCTTATGATAGATACTGCGCTATACGATCGAAGCAGGAGCTCCAAATTGCTAACAACTAAGATCGCCAAAGTGGACGAGCCTTCTCTTTGGTTGTGCATGATTTCAACACGCTTCGAGAGCGCAAGCAGTCGGCGATGGAGGGATCACTGAGCGTAATCTTGGATAATAAATCTCCTCCTCTAATTCGCCCTTGCTGTACCGTTCAACTGCTCCATGGTCCTCACGAAGTCTTGCCGCTCAGTAACCTCAAGAAACTGAAAGAGTCCATTTTATTTGTTCATCCACCTGTGATACAATACAAGGGCGGTTTCAGTTTGAGAGCACAAGATTCAAACTGAGACAGATATCATGAAAATGGCTCATCCGCAAAGCTGAATCCTGCACACAAATATGTGAGAAAGTTCGCCAGGTTCTGGATGACGGAATAGGCTTGAGGTCATGTGCTTACTCTCCATACTTGCTGGCCATTTTCTCTTCAATTTTATTGGTCAAAGTCTTGTCAACTCTGCTTTCTTGTTCACCTCTGCGAGCATTCCGAGAACAAATTCAGCACCTTTAAGCGTAGCATGCCATGCCGTGTACCGTGTACACTACACAATGCCGTGTTTGAAGAAGCCCTGTACAGATGGCGTTGGAGCTTATCTATCTATCTTTTCGATGACATCAGTATGTTATCTTCTGTCTGGAAGTAGGACAATTACTAGACCTCCAAGTGACAGGCAGTTGTTAGGTGGTAACTTACAATTCTCGACGCAATGCACCCATGGCTGCATTCCGTGCAGCTAGGGTTTGCTCAAGAGTCTGCATGGTGACAATCGAAATGACAACATCGTCACTCGTAATTGCCAGCAGAGGAGCTAAAAATTTCGCCTTTCTGGAATAATGGATGCTTCTAAATATCAACATCTGGTCACCTAACAAAGCGGGAACCATCATAAGAATTCCGCAGCCGGGGAAATGGAACCGGGGACTCAGTGTACCTCAAAAATCTCGGTGGTCATACGTTGTAAAGTGCATCTGCCACCAATTAAGAGTACCTGCAGTACTGAACTGTCACGACTCGTACGTACTTACGTTGCTGATGAGAGGTAAGTGTAATAGTGCATCTTTTAGAACAAATAGCTGTGGACGTGAAAACGAAGTTGGCAAGACTCTTTCATGGATAGCTGAGTACTGAATTTCCAACCTGAATGACAGCCAGAGTGAGATACAACCACGAGCAAGTTATGAGAAATTTGTCCACCTGCATGACCGAACAGATGCCGAATCGTCATATCCGTTCTCTGGAACAACCTCCGCACCTCAGTACCTGATGTGATTGAACTCAGACAACAGCGGTAATCAAAAGCGCACCGCATACAATTTGATCAAGGCAAGGGTTTACGCTCTCAACGGCATATTTCGTTGGACCAAAGGCCTCCAGGATTTTGGGTCTCTGTCCAAAGACAGTGTACAGCAGCAATTAGGTCGTCAATGTGACTTACAAGCATAGGGACTGCAACATGACGAATGTGAGACTGAATCTTTACTGGTGACCATTGCGAACTTCATCAATTCCTTCTTCTTGCTTACGCCAGACGTTGATGCCATGAAATTCTGACCGATCAGTCTTACTGAGCAAGAATTTTGGGTCACCTGTCCAAAGAGCGTAAGAGCATAAATCAGAGTGCCCAAATTGGAGACCCCCATCGAGGTCAAATGAGTCATGTAGCAGCACGGCAGAGTCGTTCCACCAAAGCCTGAAAGTCCTCCCACCATGGTCAAGATGCCGAGAAAAATCAACAGCCTGCCACGGGCATGATTAGACGTGAACTGATCATCAAGGACCACAATTTCCCCCGGCGATCGGGGAAATGACTGTCAGTAAATATGAAGTTCCCATACGCAGTTTTCTGTTATAACTTGAATAAAAAAAGACAGACTACTACTGAAGTGTCAAAGGGTTGTGGCTTCGAGTGCGTTCTATGGAGCCCGAATCCCGAGTTGACATCGTCACATCGACAGAACGCCACTGGTATGGAATTCTTACCATCCAGGGCAAAGAGTTGGAGGCTGCTGTAAAGTGATCACCATGATGATAGTCAATGCACCAGCCACCTGCAGCGGACGTTTCCCTTGCCAGTCATTTACCAGACTAACCATCAAACCACGGTGCTTCTGACAATCTGGCTCTATTCCCCCATTCAGTCAAGATCGGAATTGCAGCCCACCTAGGTTGCAATCTAGAGAATCTAATCAAACCTACAGACTGAAGAACGGGTGAAAAAGTCCCGTCAGTCTCGCCTGCCTGCATGCGCTTTACAACTCGTGCTCTCTTTCTCCGTTCAGCGGCCAGCGTTTCATGAAATTTGCAGATTTGATTTAAAAGAATTCTCTGATCACGGCTGGAATGAGCGGACAACTGCTCGAACCTCAAAAACCTTGGTATCACTCTCTTAACCCCACCATGTTGGCAACGATGTCGTCGTCGTCGTCGAGAAAAAGGCTACACAAGGCCTCCTTACAATGAAGCTGAAAGAGAGCCGTCACGACAGACAGCGCGCAGTCGAGAGCTGGAGACTGTGAGACCGTCTTGAACTTGACCACATGCAGGTGCACGAGGCTCATTTTCACCACACCCTTCCACAGAATCGGACCAAGACTTCTGCTCCTTGACCTAGCTACGGCTAAACACATGCATTCTGGCAAGGTACAACCAAGAGGAAGTTTGATGCATTCCGACCAGGGAAAATAGAACTCAATCGTACTCATGTCACAGAAACATCGAGAAGAAAAGTAAGAGAATTCATCGGATTTGCACTCGCCTGTCCGGAGAGAAATCAGGCATCAAAGTGCAAGCAGAATGCACGTACAAAATGAGGGTTATGAGAAATGATGTGTACAATGACTACGACGTTGAAAAACTTCAAGCCTCTATTCAAGGCAAGACGCCTGAATGCGATCTTGGCCTCCCGCGCCAAAGGCATTCTCGCGATCTACCGTGATGAATCTTTTGGCGCTCTCCGCTTACTGCACAACACATCGGGAACTACAAACCGAGAAATTTTCAAGGGGCCACACTTCCATCATCTGAGCTTCTGCTGGCCATGTCTGAAACAGTACAAAATGAAGCAATGCAACGCAACGGTACACGTCTCAATGGAGTTAGGCTTCAACCTCGAAATGATTCTCTTCCAAAGCGTTCACGTTCAGACGGGTCATCTTGCCGGCCTTCTCGTCGCCGTCCTCACCCCTCTACAACTAAATGCTGTCCTATATCCTGATCACGTTACAGAATCTGCAAGAAGCGACTCCACAGAGAATGCACGGGCCTTCGAGAACTTCTAATTTCGACCTGGACCTCTAATGTGGATGATCACTGTGCGCAGGATGCCTCATCACGTCGTTCTCCAGTCGTGGCGAGAGGGGCAGATGGGCCATCTCACAAAAAGTTGAAACTTCCTCGTCAGGCAAAACCGAAGAACTTCTTTCCGACTACAACCTTTTGGCCAGGAAACCCGACGCTGTCAGCTCTACTCCCATCAGTGCTTGCATGTCTGAGTTTTCTCCGAGAGCTATGACAGGAACTAAAGTGGGCCTAGGACCAACAGGCGCAGGAGGAGAATGTTTGCAGCACCGAGCCATCGCTACTTCGATTGCTTCTCGTACATCGTGCGCGCGTATGACGCTGCCTACGAAGTACAACCGGAACGTCTGCAAGTGCACAGTGTGGAACTTCACATTAATAGGTGCGGGAGAGAGACAACCCCGACAGATTCAGCATTCAGAACAATTGCATCCAACTTTCGATTTTGCGTTGCAACAGAAGGGGCAAACGTGGTGAAACTTACAACAACATCGGCCCAGCACAAAGACGCGTCTTCGAGAGTGCGAGACATGGACTCCATACACTCGGACATTGCATCCGTGAAACTACAACCCCGTTGCGAAGGTGCTGTGGCTCCGTTCCCGGATCTTCCAGCAGCCTTCAAACCCTGCCCACTGGTAGATGGATCGTGCGTGCCGACTGAAACTACACCACCCGAGCATGCAAGTGCTTGGACACTTTCCCTGGATGTAGAAGTCTCTTCAGATGGGCCTGGAAGGATATAACTGACTGCTCTACACAAGTAGTGCGGTAAGATTAATCCCTTGCATGGTGCACAAAGATATATTCTCTGTCCATGCTGCAGGTCGGATTCGTCGGCATCTGTTGACCCCTGACATGACGAGCCTTCGCTATTTGCTTCTCTTTGCACGAGCGAAAGGTCGACTAAAGTTTCTCTCCAGCATTCATTCCGTTGTTCGTCGTCTTCCTCCGAGGAACTGTCGATCAAACGCGTTATGTGGGATAAAGGAGCTACTTCAACAAGGGCACTGCACATGAACATGGACACCGGCAAGCAACGATCAATACCATGTTAGAAACACGAACTAGCTCCTGTTTCGTACGCTCCAAGGAAGAGAAAATATGCATGATCGAGCCCGCAGCTACCGTACTTCAGAAACAGAAACAATGAAAAACTCTCAGTCGGCGTATCAAGGCTCGGTTGGTATCGAAGTATTTACCCTTTTGGCAATGCAGGAACCAGAATGTAGAGAAACAAAGCGCCTGGCAGGGAACGGAACAAATTCACTGCTCGATGGCAACCACGATCATCAACGTCGGTGAACATTCGTTCATCGGTCTGGAAAAAGTTACGAATAACACCCTCTACTTGTTTCCTTTCTTCCACGCTGGAACCAGATGAGCAGTACACAGAAAAACTCAGAACGAGACACTCTTTGCGATTATGGCCTTGACTTGAAGTAAAAGCGTTACCAACCGCTTCACAATTCCTAAGAGCTTGCAGCATTTCATCTGCTCCACCCCCACTCACTATACTCATTGTGGGAGGATCGAGTCCCAGTTGCCCCGCCATGTAGAGCAAGCCCTGGAACAAAGTTGCCTGATCCAGTTCAACAACACCGTATATAAGAAAAGTTAGCACTTACTAGGCTTACAGAACAGTGAGCACTGAGATCCTAGAAATACGTTCCTTGTGAACTCTTCGACTCCACTCACTCCTACTACTTTCTAGCATGCGTTCTTCTTCAAGAGGTATTATCACCTAGAACGAGAAGCATCTGCCCACTACCATATCGCGAAGTTTTGAAGCTGGCTTCACAGATCAATGATCTCCTCTTATCCCGAATTTCATTCTAGTATTCGTTCACCTTGGCCCTATACAAGTTCATCACATGTTGCTACAACGCAAAGTACCTGACTGTAAGGTCCGATGCAGCTTGGTGCCCAGGAAGAAATGCTCTGTACGTGTAGAACTTCTTTGCTTTCACATCTTGCTGCTAGAATCTCAACCACAGCAACTCCCATGCCACTCTCTACGAGGGGCAATTCGACGCAACATCTTGACGGGACGCCTCTCAGACAAAGTTTCTCAGTTATATGCGCCATGTACTTCTCGTTGGCTTTTACGAACTTTGACATGTCCTTCAGATAAAGATGTACGTATATGACATCAGCCCAGCTCAGTTTCTCGTTCCGAAGTTCTACTTCAGCTGCTTTCAGGAGATCATCCAGCTCATCCTGCACTTCTATGGCCCGAAAGCGTCCAATCAGTACATAAACTTGCAAGGCTACCTTCTTGAATTGACTTACACTCGCGGTACTCATACAGTCATTTTGTATGGGCGCGTGGCGTTAGCAGTTCACTCAGAATTCAGAACTAAATCGACAATACCTGAGCCAAAAAATCCATAACAGGTAGAGTGAGCTACGATGTCTGCCGACATCCTGAAGATCAAACGGTTCATCATCTTGTTCGCCACAGAAGCTACTCCAGTTCTACCAGCGCTTACAAGTCGTAATAATTGGAACCAGATAAAATTTTGACTTGTACCTTGGGTGGCGTCTTCATCAGAAAGTCTTGAGCAACTGAGTACCACAAAGCCGTGTTGCTGCCTATTGACTAAAACGGAAACCCCTTTAGGCTGAGATTCACCCAAAGTGATACCCTCCAAAGATGGTCCAGGGGCATCACTAGCAGATTGTGCCACACTCTCTGTAGACGCTGGCATGTTACTGACATCGTCACACATAATTGCTGAGCATGAATCCGGAGCCCAAGCATCTGATTTAGGCTCCAAATGAAACTTGAGAGGATGTAGAACGCCAACAGGAGCAAAAGAATCTGCTGAATGAAGTTGTATTGAAAATTCATCCAATATAATTCTCGCGTTCTTGAACACATCAAAAAATGAACTGAGTTAAGAGAAGTTGTGGATATCTTATGTCCTTATTCCATGTGCTTCAATGTACGTCTCTAGCATCTAATATGCGAGGTTATCTTCGTCATAATACTCAGAAAGCAGATACTTATAAATGATTATACCACCAAATTATGCAGTCAACATGATGGTCAACTTCTCACCTTAAATAGTGGAGAGTCCAACGTAAGGCTCTCATATTCTCCGCCCTCGCCACACACATTGCAATCATAGAGACTGCAGCCACAAAACCCTGAACCTTAGAGATCTGCGAGCCATCTATGCAGTTCAGAATGCATATATGTGAGAGCCCACAGCATCAGACTCCAGTGATTTGAAACTTATTGCGAAGATCAGGCCAGCAAAATATTTTTCCTCGTTATTCCGGCTATGTGCGCTAATACACTACGTCTCTCTACAAACTGCTCTCTGTATATTTTGAACAAATTAATGTACAAACCATAAGCAGGCTTGGGCTCAGACAAGTTTTACATATCTTGCGCTATGGAATCCTGGAACCCTCCCAGTTATATTGACAGAGGATACTAAGCTCTCACGAATCATACCGATGCTGTGGACTTTTGTGCGTTATATCAAGTAAACTACAATCGATCCTGTGTACCATGATGGTCCACACATCCTTCTTCCAAGTCCGAAAAGTAAAGAAACTAACTCTTCTGAAAGTAATCATACTCTTGGAGTTTCATAAGGAGGGGCTGAAGTGTCGCGAGGTCCTTTCCAAGATGCTTTTTGGGATCTAAGCCCAACACTGCAACCTACATTAATCAATATGTTGAGAGGGAACATTCTCGGTCAGGTCTAAAATCAAAGTACGAACGAAACCTACAGGTTTTATTGACCCAAAGCACAGAACGTTATAGAATAAACAGTATTCAGACGACACGTTCTCGAACGTCGACAAACCTGGCAGAGCGCCTCGCGATATCATATTCCTCACCTTCACAAGAACTGCGTGGAGGCCACTATCGATCTAGACAGAAAACACCAGAAAAGGGAAAGTTCAGGACGGAGGCTTTGAAAGTTTGAGAGAATTCATCGAAGCGGCAAATAACACGAACACAAGAAAGTTGGACGGGATTCATTCAAAACTGGTGCTGAGCTGAATGATATGATGTAGTTTGGAATCACCATATTTTGCAGTAGATAAGGCTGCTCTTGTTTCCACATGTATGCCAGTGAAATCAGTCCCAACCTTGAACAAACGTTCTCCACCCTGAGTCGTTGATAATCTGAAGCAATTGCGCCTGAAGAGACACCTCCAATTTCTGGAAACCGACTCTTCACAGCTCTCAAAAGAGCTTCCAAGTCTTCGACCTCATCTCCATACGTTTTCGTATATCTCAAACCTTTCTCTCTAGAGATTAAAATCAACAACGTGAAATTCATATTAGTGAGAACCCGCACCTCTCAAGAACAAGGTCCTTGAGACTATAAGACGATTAGACATCTTCAACAGACATTTAAAGGACTTCAGAAAGACTCGAATTAACAAAGGTAGCATCTCTTTTATTGAAAATTTAGGATGAGTATCAGAAGTTCATTCTAGATTCAAAGCATATCTATATTAGACAAAAAGATCTTATCAAGGACTATCAAAACCAATACCTGGTCTGTCCCTGGATTTTTCTGCGAAACAGTGGTAGACCCATGCATTGAGATAAGGCCGTGATAACCTGGTGCCCAACCTGCAATCGACCGTGACAGCTCAGATATCCCAAAATATTTTAACATGCGCTTATTCGTATCTCCTAGGTTAGCAGATAGCCCATGGGATGTGGGCTCACAGAATGCAAAACACTGAGGTGGATGGTTAATAAAAATTTTTCTCTACTTCGGTTCTCAATTCCTTTCACCACATCGTGATTGTTTTGAAGTTGCGGGCACAGAGAACGAACGGGCATGCGGGGGGAAAAAATTCAGGAGGTGCAAGTTTGTGATGGCTGTAAGATGGTAACGTGAGCTCAGAGTGGCTTAACAAGAACGAGAAGTGTAAACTGAGCAGGATCTACAGGCCTTACAGTTTGATACATGTAACTGTCAAGCTCATCCACGTCCTCGTCGACAGGATAAAGGTTGGCGAGTGCTACAATCTGCAAGTATCAAACAAATCAGCGTTATGCTTCTTGGCAATCCCTGACATCGACCAGAGGCTGCCATCTAATACGACTTTACAGAAAATTCACACTGCTCCAGAGCAGCCGATGTATGAAAACGTCCAAACAATAACATGCCCAAGACTTCAAGGTGGAAGATCCGAATTCAAACTCATTCAGGTTCGAGCGAATGAAGGTTACCCAGAGGCGTGAGGCATCTCGGAAACCAAGGGGAGTAAAAGCAACATTTTAACAGCAGCATTTTCTACTCATGGAAGGGAGGTTTGGTTCAGTGACTCAGAAAAAATTCACCTCGTGCCCATAAGATCGACAGAGCTGCATTGCATAGCAGCTATCCTTCCCTCCGCTCACAAGCGCCACCACCTTCATTTTCGCATGAACAGCTGGTTGCTGCTATTCTAACTCCGCGAGGATCGAGATGACAACGGAAACAATCTCTCTGTTGCTGTCTCAGAGGCACGCCGAGTGAAAACGAGAAAGCTGGTGCTAAAGTGGCGACCAGCTGAGAAATCGAGCTGCAGAGCACGAAGTAATCGACTATCGCACTGTGCTTGCAGAGAAAAAGACCTCAGAGTCAAAGCGCCATTTCACTAATCATCACTCTGTGCAGATTCCATCCGGATTCGCTCGGCTCGGGCATATGTGCCACGCGTGATTCTGTCCACGAGCTGACCACGCAGTTCTCACATTCCGTGCGCCGTGATGCCTCAATCTCAAACTTTGGACGCGGATGCCACCAAGAGATGGCGAGCCCATGGCCCCCCAGTGCAATGCAGCAGTGTGCAGCAAAGCCAATGATGCTTGCTCTGCACTTCACAAGTGCCAATTGTCGACACAATTGTCAATTTGCCATTTTTCCGCCCATTTTTCTCCCAATTTCCTTCAATTCTCTATACCCCTCCCTGCTCGTGTTGGTTGAGATGCTCTCTCCCATTCCTTTGCTAATTGTTCGTGAAATCATGGCTCGAGGGCTCGAGGGGCAAAGTCGTAGAAGAGAAGGGGAACATCAATCGTCAATCAAGAAAGAAAAAAGAGGTTCTAGGTCCAAAAGTCTCACAACAGGAAATATCTGTTTCTCTCTTTTATATATACGGCCATCAATCAAAATATACTTAAGCACTCGCTGTGAATGCTAGTTAAATTAGGCTGCACAAATATGAGAAGAAAAAACATAGATCGCATGTCATATAGTATAGTAGCTTTGGCACGCCCTTTACGTGATATTTTAACATACACTGCTAAAAGAACAATCATAGAGAAATGAAGAATCATTATAGATTAATAAGTAAAAACATTACTAAATTATTAAATTTCTTTGCGTAACGTGATAATTCGATACCATGGTTGATGATGTTCGACTTGTGATACGACTCCGAACCTATTAGAGTTGCCAAAACAAACTTTCCTCATCATGCTTTTAGACTTTGGGTGATAGATTACACATGTAGAAGATGAGTTGGAAGTCACTTGATACCATTGGGCGAGCTTGTGAATCATATGTAGGAAATTTGGGATTTCTAGATGATATCCACCAATAAGAGGAAAAACTGCATTCTGCTATTATACAAAGATATTGTCAATTAACTGCTCTCAAGTATTTGTATCCATCAAGTACATGCTGGATAAAAATAAGTGTGTGGCAGGAAGATATGGACCTTGCCACTCGACCAGCATTCGAACCCTGCAACTTCCACACTATCAAAATTCTGATCGAAGCTGACTTTCGAAGATATCATCGAATTGTAGCAACCTTTGATCCATTTTGATACGAATTTTGATCTCTCATGAGTTCCAAGAATATCCAAGACTGAAGACCTTGACTTTGAACGAAGTCCAAAGTCGAGGTCCACAACTTTGTAAGCATGCCATCCTATGCAATTATTGTTTTTCACTCCGGGCATGGTCGATGAATACGTAAAAAACAATGAAGCAGCTGATATGCTCGTTACGATTTTGGAGTTTGTCCATATCCTTGCACGGATCCGAACAGATTTTTATATACTTGATTATTAATCGATTATCAATTCCTATCTTAAAAGTAAAAAAAAAAAAAAAAGGTTGGTGTTCCGGAAAACATTCATTTTCTGTTTTCTTTGGTGTGAAGGGCACAACATCCAGGCATTCCCCAATTCACACCAATACGAGTCGAGATCGTTCTGATGAATTGAGAAGGAAGATTACGAACAGAGCGATTGGTTGTGCAAGTAATTGTTGAGCTTCTCTGTGCATTGATGTAACGGAGAAAACTTGAATGGACGAAGTTATTATGACACAAATTAGACGGAGAGAAAAATACATAAGACATGGACCCATGGCAGCTCTCCAGTAATGGTTTATTGCTCGCTTGAACATGAACGGGAGCGACGCGTGAGTTTTCGACTTGCGAATGAATAGAGGGAACTGTGGAGCATAAGAAACACGGTCACGAGTCGGAGGCGCGAGCAGCGATTTGGATTTCGGCGTACTGGATTTCGGGTCACCACGCAGAGGATTTGAAAATTGCTGTGCCATAGCGCAATACCTGGACTGCGGGTGGATCGTGAGAGCGGACTTTTCTTGGCGCTGAGCGCGTTGTGAGGATCGTGCGAGATCAACTGTCTCTACATTTCGTCGCACAGATTGCGTTTCTTGTAAGACAGCCGCGGAATGGCTTCAGAAATCAACAAGGAGGTGAGCACGCACCATGGTTTTAAGAAGTGGAATGTCTGCAGGCTGTGAATTGAGCTACTCACCCCGTCTCCACTCACTGCTGATGCTCTGTCGCATGTGCTGGAGCTTTTGGAAGTGGTCATGTGTTTTCAAGATCAGTTAGATTGGTTCTTGTTCAGGGTTTTGTAGCGATTGCGTCGGTTGAGAATGAAGGTCGACTGAATTTTGTGCAAAGTGTTGTAAGGATCGCAAGAGAACATTAACTGGCACACGGTCCAGAAATTTCCACTCCGTAGGATACTTCCCTCTCAGATGTTTTGGAACACTAAAGTATCGAGGAAGTGCGTTCTATTCGAAATTGTTATCCTTTTCTGACAGGCTGCTGGCAGCCAAGGCAACCGCAAGTATTGGGATGATTTCATAACAAGCCTTGTGTTCTGCCAAGAGAGGGCTTTACCTTGGCCATGTGTAAAAGCCACTGCATTTCTGACTGAATTATCGCGAAGACATCACACGATCCTCGCTTGAGAGTCTGGTGACGATTTTAGATGTATCGGAGGTGACTGGAGCTTGTTACCAAATTCTCTTGCATCGGAGACCTTTAGTCCGCACTGCCTTGAATTACAGTGTTCCGCTCACTTCCGACTTCGGCAGTTGACTGCCATTGTTGTTGAAATTCTTGCGATTCCTCGATTTCTTATCAAATGTCATGGTTATTAGTGCACCGGTTCCAACTTGTTAAATATCAGTTGGTCTCTTGCTGTTGTATAACACGTGAAAGGTGATGGCGAACATTTTATTTCGTCGGTTACACATCTTCCTTATGTGGTACTCATTTTTGACCATATGATTTGTTATTTTTGATGCCGGCAGGCTTTTGTAGAACTACAGGGCCGGCTGGTGGAAACGACCACTAAGCTGAAACAGGTAAAGTTGTGATTTTTAGACTCAAATGAGCTCTGGAAGCTCTGACTTAGTATTTATCGTTTCAGAATACCTTCTCCTTATCATACATCTGTCATATCCCTAAGATCATAGGCCACTTCCTGGCTCAGCAGTACCAGGATCTAAACCTGTCAACACTGTGCCCCATTTACGGTGCAGATGACTGGGAAAACACTACTTATCTCTGAGCGGTAAACTGCTGGAGGCTTCCACATACCATTATATCCATGGGTTACTCTATATTTTGCAGGTGCAGATGCAAGTCAGGAATAAGGAAGTTGAGAAGAAACGCGCCTTCTTGACTTTGGAAGAGTTGAATTCTCTCGCGGAAAATACGAACACATACAAATCAGTTGGTATGCCTCCTTATTCCTATGGCACTATTCCTATCTTGTGGTAACTGGATCTTACAATGCAACTCGAGGTTCCTGCTGAAAACATTTCCATACCAATGAATCTACTGCGTAATTACTCATGTAAATCTTCGTTCGTTGCTTCCGCTTGTGCAGGCAAAGCGTGAGTTTCTTCCCATGAGTTTGTATTTCACCATCTTGTGCTCTACCTACTTAACTGGTGAAGTATGGCAGTTTCGTTTGTCTTGTGTGATTGTTTCTGAAGTGGTTTCCTCAGATTCTGGTCGAGTGGACTTTAGCAAGTGTCATACTTAGAATTATTATCATTCTGTCATGGCCTGAAGACCTTAGGACCTGAGCCCTGGCTGAGCAGTGCCAGTAGTACCAGACTGGAAAGTAGAATTAAGATGGGAGGAAGACCGGGGTCTTCTTGTAGAGTATAGAGAGTGGCCTATAGTAGCATTCTCCCTGTGTGCGGATATTTTAGAAACACTCATTAGCTTGTCCTCTTCAAGGTTTGTATCTTTTGATTAGAATATGCGCACCTTTTGGCCTTGAATCAAGAGTGGTTACGGGTTTTACTAGCACTCAAAGGTGTAACCTCATTATTGACATTAGTTTCATCCTTCATACCTCAATGGGGTAACTTTTCCACACAGGGTGGTTTCGAATCTCGCTCTTCTTTTGTTTAGAGGGATGAAGCCCGGGCAGTGGGCTTTAGCTTTATACCCAGGCTCACAAGCCGCGTGCATTATTTTCTTTTAGGGCCACGATCTCAGAGTTTATCGTGAAATCTAAGAGGTCAGATTTGTGGTCCGCTTGCTGCATGCTCTCATTCCCTCAGACTCCAGTTCTGTCTTCCGCAACTAAAAGTTCGAAGGAGTCCTACCCCTTTTTCCCACAGATTGCGTCCCTTCGGCAGTTTTCCTGCCTTACCTCTATCCTGCGTCTGGCTCGAAAAAGGCTTTGCAGGTCTTTCCTGGCTTCTCCAATTCCATGTTGCATACAATAGCAGTTGGGGATATAACTGAGGTATCATATCTTGCATTTTCTTCTCCCGTCTGCTCGCCAGTTTTTCAATAACCTATCCGGGCCATTTCTGTGAGTGAGACCATAGTACGAAAGTGTGTCAGCTGTACTGCTCATCGGATGATGTCAGCATTCCAAATTGCGACTCCAAGTCCTGAGTGGGTCGTGTAGCTTGAAGTACAACTGAACGTGTGGCTAAAACTATAAAAGTACTGTACTGGAGGAACTTGATGATGTAATTCATCAAGTACATTTGCCCTTCTGAACGATTATGTGTGATTTCCGATTGCAACCTTCTGTAAGTTCGATTCCTGAGTACTAATAGGAAGCACTCTTGGTCAACCCAAATCCACCTTCGGTATTACTCCTCCGTTTGTCCGTTAAAGACTAGGTTATCGTTTTAGGCAGTGCCTCCAACTCATGTTACAACAGATCATATACATACAAGATGATTTTCTGGAGCTTCTCTCCTATAGCTTCACTGCAAAATCAGGCTGATCATGACCCGTCTTGACTTCAGTTGTTTCTTAAGAGACGAAGTGGATTTCACAGCTTCAGACTAAAAAAAAGCAGTAACACATTTGTATACATGACTCAAGGTTCTGGAAGCTGGAACATCTGTTCCTGCCAATCATGCGCTTTTGTTTGCTTATGGCGACTTGTGGATTTTCAGGTTTTTTCTCACGCCAATGGTAACTTTGGTGACGGAGCAGAAGGCCAAAACAGAAGAATGTGATACCACACTGGCTACCTTACAGGTTCGTGGTTTTCTGCATCTCAAGTTCATGTTCTATCATGCCATGCTCAATACGAGATACACCTACTCATTAGCCAGCCATAAGTGACCAATGCAGTTAATTTTTGGCTTACTGTGGTCGAGGAAGGGAAGATTCGGTACTTCATTCGAACGTCTCGGTTGGTTGCCTTCTATGATGTACTCTGTCTGCTGTTGCAAGAGGATTACCATGGGTGAAAAGGTAGAGCTTATTATATATATTCCTTCTCAACGGAGGATCGGTGCCCGACGCATGCAGAGTGTGGCCCTTCTGTGTACTTAGAATGGCTATATTCTATCTTGGACTTACGGTAATTATCGCCGATTGCAGGGTTCAAAAGAATATCTGGAGCGACAGATGAAGGAGGTCGAGAGCAGTTTCAGGGAGTTGCTTCAGCAGTCACCAGCTCTTGCACGACAAGTCATGGCAATGTCTGTTTCATAGACACCTGGCACCACAAATACATTTATGCCGTTTTGGCCGTTTGGAAATTGCCATGAGCTTGAGCTTCGGCAGAATCAATTTTCAACCGAAATCTCCGGAATCTGATAGCTTCAGTAGAAGGATAACTCCAGGGTTACACGATCCCAAATTTACCGACTCACACACTGCTGATTACCATGCATACTTGATGAGGGAGCGGTCGTTTGTGTATCGTTTTTGGCCAGCTTTTCAGTAGGATGAGTACTAGGCAGTGTTGTGAAGGTCTAGAACAACGGATGAGTATGTTGCATTTATGTGACATTCGTGTCACAGAAGAGAGTCGGCCTTGACTGTACCGTATCCTTCGAGACGGAATTCCAGATAGGTTTACATGTTTACATATTTTAGAGGCATCAAGGCAAATGCAGTTGTATGACAAACCGATTCCGTTTCTTGAGAGGATCATTTTTATGTTGTAATTCAGTTTCTCGAAAAGAAGTAAAATTTTTGGCTACCGGGTTCAAAATTCACCATCATTTTATTATTGCTTCTCCGGCCAGCCTTACAGTTCACTTTATCCTAGAAATAATGGTCTAAAGTAAACCCTATGGGCCTTGCACAAGGATTGGGGTCCTGGGGTGTCACCAGTGAGCGACAACATCTAGAGTAGTGCAAGTACAGTATATTCAGGCTTGTGACTGAGGCTGATCCGTCGGAAACGGATGGACAATGGAGGAATCCTAAATACAACAGATGCTAGGGAATACGCGTTCACGCAGTGAAATCACGTTCTTCTCGCCATAACGAATGCTTCCGTTGTTGTCACGCGTCTCTGAACATTACATAGCCATTGGGGCTCACTACCGCCCCTTTCTCAGACTATGTTTGACCTCTTTCATTACTCGAGACTACAACGCCGTAAGGCACAGTTGAAAATATACCAGCAGCGTCTTCCGCAAATTTTCGTAAATTTGCACACAACGTTCAGACTGCGAAGTGCAGCTGAGCGGATAGATCGCTCCTCATGGGTTCAGTTAGGTAAACCTCTCTGCACCTCCTCCACTATTTCTAAACATCGATAAAGTACTGACTGTAGACAATCGATTGCCAACATCATGTCTGCACTTGAGTCTGTTTCGGAATCCACTCTCTCCAACACACTTCTGACGCTTAAAGCCTGTTCCCTGATCGGCAAAAGCCAATATGTCCGGCCCTTCACAAGTTCATCATGACCGAGCACTTGTGTATAATTGGTATTTCCTGCGGTTTATCCAAAAATGTCATGTGAAGTAACACTGTGTAAAGCAGGACACAGCCCGAGTCACCTCAGTCCGACTAAAATCAACATAAGAGTTTATTTTTTGGAATTCTGAAAAATCGCAAAACTAGTCGGCATAGTGCGAACATATCCAAGAGAGATATCTGCAAAGTACGAGTAAAGAGAACTATCATCTAACCCTGAGCTTGAAAGGGGTTGGAAATGTAAGAAATATTGTACCTGAAGATTCCCTTATCAGTAGGAAACGATACAAGTTTAAGGCACTCACGACCTGCACTCGCAACAATATCGCTGCTCAGTATTCTTCTCCCAACTGTTAAAGAAAGTACGAGATTTGGTCATCAACTGGTGGAAAGACTTAGAAAGAGCTCTGTCTGTAAGGCGATAGCTTTTCACCATGTTCTTTAAGAAGATCAGTTTGACAGATTAAGATCCTCGATGAAATCAGACGACACTAAGGAATGAATGACGGAGGTGTACAGACACAAGATATGTGCATACCGCATCAATATTTCTAGGAAGTTCCGCGAGATCTCCATCTCTTGTTCGAAGAACACACTGGATGAACTGTAATACTTGGCTATTAACGAACGGAGACAACGTCATGCCCTCTGTGAAGGTCTCAGCTGAGGCAGACGTCGAGAGGCCATCGCTTCCTCTCTGAATCGGAAGATCCACAACTGGTGGCCATGCACTCACGACTTCATCTTTAACACAGTTCAAAAGCAGTGAAACCTGCGAACACAAATTTAGGATTGACAACCAAGACGTCATACTACTTGCGTTTGAACATTGGACTTTACTAACAGTCTCTGCTAGCTGAGAGTATACAAATAAGAAAAGTAAGGAACATACCAAAGATGGATGATCGCAGTTCGTTATAATATCAAATAAAGCTTGAAACCTTTCTGGTGCTGGAAGAGTCTGTTTGATTGTCTGTCGTTGAAGGGCATGTATTACATGTTAGTCCCGCTAAAGAAAGCGGAATTTCCACTATTTTAACTGAACAAGGAGAGCGGATATCCAAATTGACTTCCAAAAGTGAAATACACACGAAATATCGTTCACAGGCGTACCTTGATTAGGAGAGCGTATGCCTCTCGACGTAGCTTGGTGTTTGCAGTGTGGACAACAAGATCTTGGATCCTCTGTGACCAACACATCCAGAAACAATGAGAACATGTATCTATGATCTCGTGCCAATACGATAAAGTTGAGGTTACATCTCCCTATATGAGAATGAACATCTATACACCCTCGTAATCTGTAATCCACGCAAGGGCACGTTGCTATGTTACGAAGTTACCTTCAGAGCTGGCATAATATAGATCGATGAATCATCAGGTTGAACTGTGTGACTGGTATTGGATATTGTTTTAAGGACTTCAAGAATTGACGTCAGTAAAGTCACTCCTTTCTGCTGGAAAGACACATCTTGATTCCATCCCAAAGGAACAAGCAAAATGCTTGCCATGTTGATGACATAAGAAACACCTTGACGTCCAGAATTCTCGACTTGACTTTTCAGAAAGTCGAACACCAAAGTGACAGTGGAAGAGTCTTTGTTAAAAATATACCAGTACACTGCTCTGGTCCCATACACAAACAGTTGTGTTAATGTTGATATTCCAATTACCAATGAAGGATGAAAGGAAAGAATTTAAATTAACCAAACATACTTAGATATTCTCTAGATTGCATAACAGTACCTGCAAGTGCGGCTCCTACTGTGGCCTCAAACCGAGTCCGAAGGATCTGATCTTCATCTTCTGTGATAGAAAACATACTGAATCTACAATTAGTGACACGCCTTGACCTTGTATTGAATAGGTCTCTCACAGACGTAGAAGTGCTTAAAACGAACAAGCAACTTCCAGGCTTACTAATTACAGACAGTTAAATTATACAAAACATGAAGGTAGATTTAAGGAAAGAGTGAACTTGGAGGTGTACCATCAGAGTAACGATCTAGAATCTCCTCCAGTTTCCTTGTTGTAAGAATTTCTTTGACGAAGAGGTTACTGGAGGACAGCAGGTTCATAACTTCCATGACAATCTCTGGAACTCCACCTTCAATCGCACTAGTGCTACAACTCGCTAAACTCTGCGTATCCCACAAAGATCAATCTTTTAACACGACCTACTTCATAAACAGACGGCGTCTCGAAAAGAGATTCTAGATCCAAAAACGCTTGCAATGTTTTGGGTTCACGAGTTACCAACCAGAAGTCTTAAGATATATAAGACGAGGATGTCGCTGAGCCTCTGATTATCCTACAACCAGAGGTGTACTTGAGTTCAGACTCGATCGTCAAACAGACAAACCATGATGGGATAACCTCATCACGATATTAGCAGAGACAACTCAAAAAATTGATGTCCAGAGCAGGCAAAATCAACCGGTACAGCTTCAAACTTCTTTGCTAGGATAGCCTCTGTAAATCTGCTCCATTTCATAGATATCTAGAACAACTATTCTGGTAAAAAATCGACGCAGAAAGTCAACCAATCCCCTTAAAACTCACATCAATTTTGAGGACAGTATACTATAGCTTCATATAACGAGGTCTATGGGCTAATCGAACAAACCGAGTTACTTACATCACCAGTGTACACTTCTCTCATTGTCTTGCCCAGATTGACCAACTTTTCGACCAATTTGGAAGGTATGTTGTCCGGAACTCGGTAATGCGGTATTTGTTGAGCTCTTGACTCAGAAACCTCATCGTCCGAATCATTCTCGCCTGTAGCACCCTTAACTTCTAAAGCAGCCCTTCCGACTTCTAATAAGCCCGGAATTGCCTCCTTAAAGAACTCTACTTGTCGCCTCCTGATTCGAGGAAAGACTGCACGCAGAATCAGAAGTTATATTATTTATATCAGGACGACTTGAAGCTGAAGAGACTAAGAGGTATTTTTGCTTCATCTCAAATGTACTCATAAGACGATGTTTATTTTCAACTTGACACGACATTTCATTTTCACAAAAAAGGCGAAAACGGAAGATGGAAATAGCGCACCTCATTTCAAGAAGATGCACAATCTAACAAGAAGTGTGAATGAGAAAAACACCGCAAATCCAAATGGAAAGTCTCATTCTTCACAAAAGCACAGAAACTAATACAGAAAATGTCCATCAAAGAGCTATACTTAAATTTCTGAATTAACCATTCGCTATAATCAGCGCCCTTAAGTCCTTACCGATCGAAAGCCCATGTAAAAGAGGTATACAAAGATGTAGTGTCCGAGGTTTAGTGTAGATGTTGATTACCTGCCTCAAAAGAAAGCAAAAGGTACATGAGAGTTCAGCGTTATGTTTTCCCTGATAAGGAGAGGACATACAAACCAGGCTGTACTGTTGATGACTCTTGCAGTGGTCACAATTGTATCTCATAAACGGACGAAAACACTAAAATCATGCACACTTCTGACCTAAACCATCCAAAACCACCGTATGGTTTGAAAGAAACAAGTGGTGCTCTTCCTACTGAAAGAACATTCAGTAGGCATCTCGACATTCCTTAATTTTCTTGCGCAAAACATTCACACTCCGAACTTCGAACTTATACGAGGTGAACAGATATCATAACTGATATTTATACTCTGATTTCTTACTAATATGCAGATCAAGTTGGCTCGTCACTAGCCTCAATGAACGAAATGCCTGTCAAATATGAAAATGCAAGCGGTTCATAAACTTAATGGAGACCAGCGTTCAAGCTTTGCATTGGCCAGAGCGCAAACAACGTACCTCAAAAAATATCGTAAACATTTCCCGCGGATCACAGGATGCAGCCATATTTGCAATCAAAGTATTGATATTTGCTTCACATCCTTCAGATATGCCAGCATACTGCACTACGACCTCGAGTAGGTCACTGCCTCCAGCAATGTCTAAAAGCTCCTACACAGGGCATGCCGATAAACTATTATTTCCTCAACGATCCCAGCGTATTGATCTACCACCTCAAGTAGGTCACCAACTCTAGCGATGTCTTAAAAGATCCTACGAAGTGTGAAGATGGATCGAAGAATTTCCCAGCCTGAGGCCGTGGCTTGAACACATAAGATGCTATCTCTGTTGAACAACCACCAGACGAAGCACTAACCGATGACCTCAGATGAAAACATTTTAGGAACGAACCTGTCCATAAGCGACATTTGGATCAAGCGAACTGTTGATTTTCTTCAAAAGATCCTCACATTGTCTCGTCCACTCGGAGCCTCTCTCTACTTCCTTCAAACGTGCTTTCAAGTTGTCCACAAACTCCGCAACCTCCCTACCTTGACCTTCGCCTCCCGCCTGTTGAGCCAGAACATTAACACTTAGCAGAGGCTTATCTGACTGAAGGCTTAACAAGTAAAATACGGACCTTGCCTTCGCAAATTTCGACACAAGAGCTTGTGGCACATATTCTGAAAGGTACAGGATATAGCTGGATGGCCACAGATACAGAACCACATCCTTGAATAATTAGACAAGACAGTTGGATTCCTGAGATTTTTTCTCTGCTGGCTCATTCAAAACTCAACTCACCAGACTTTTGAACTCACAAGCGGGATGAGCTCCTACCCGCCATCATCCCGCTTTCACAAGGGACTGCTATTGCCCAATGAAAATTATCACTCTTTGATCGAAGGCCAATCCAGGTTGACGAAAAGGGGGAAAAGGTGAGGCACAGACTGGCTTCGTCAATATATCCAGTTGAGATATCAGAATTCTCATGAGAGGAAACAAAAACAAGAGAATATGATCACTCATAGAGAATGGAAATGGGATGATAATGCGCTCAAGTGCTCATCGTTGCGATATGCGCTTGCGGTACCAAACCAGAATCTTGGGTCAACATTCCGGACTTCACCGTAACAAACCGACAACTTCATCATCTTCGTTGAGCAGATGCTTTGAGCAACAACGCTACCTTCTGGAACTCTATCAACTCTCCGCTAGTGCACGAAGAAAGAAACTGAAGGAGGTACACAGATGGATGTAGTGAGCTTCATAGATGGAAAGAAGCGCAAATATCTTGAAATAAATATTCGAAGCTCTTGAGCTTGCTGAATGTATGACCAGACCTACAACTCGTGAGTCCAGAAAAGCTTGGCGATCGGGACAATGGAAGAAAAGTTATATACGGCCCAAGACTAGTTACAGGTGAGACGCGAGAGAACCTGAGAAGGCAAATAAGGAAGGCCAAGTGGTGTTTGAAAGAAAAGATGCACGGAAAATGAGAGCAAAGTGGAACAAATATGTTAGGAGCATCGTTACAACAACCGGCAAGACCAGTGTAAAACACGCAACTGCACATTGCAGTACGACTACTTCTCAAGAGAGTGATAAAAAGAAAATTTCCCACACTGGGTGTTCACTGCCCATACTCTGTGTGCATATGCGGTGCATTAGAAACGTGATCAGATACACGAAACAAAAACGAATTCTGCGAAAACGAATTTTCGCAGAACTTCAGAAGAAAGCACACTAGAGAATGTACTGACAAGAAAAGACAAATGCAAAACGTTACATGTCATTAACGAGGATATATAGAGCGAGGGGAAGATCACGTGGAGAGCATCTTCTCAGAAATGGAAAAAAGCAGCACCAAGAACAGAACAAGGGAATTGAACTCTAGATTCTCAGGGAAAAAAACTCGGTATTCATAAGAACACACAGAAGTGGATCGAAAGGCAGAAACACACCGTAATTTCGGATTCCGGATCCATCGCAGAGAAAGATCGCGCCTTCGCGAGCAGGAGTACGAGGATGCGGTAGACGTACTTCAAGAACTAAGCTCGTGGCCCTGACGAGACCCCCACTGCTGCTGGATGATCATCGTCGGCGGAAGAGTATTCGCGAATCTGACATGGGTTCAATACTATCGATGGTTTCTTCAGATTGCTTCACAACTCCGAAGAAATCTGAAGTCCTGTCTCCATTGCAACAATTTGTCGCCCGCCCGTCGAAGCAAGGGAGCAGAAGGCCTCGAGGAACAGACTAATTAATTAGACGTGGGGCCTCCTCCTTCACGCTAAATCAATTTCCCCTAGCATTAGTAACGAAGTACGGGCACCACTTCCCAACCCTAGAGATATTATTTATCGTCTGAAGGAAGGATAAGCTGCCCTACAAAGGTTAATAATTCAGGGTTTCCGAACCTTCTATCGATCGGTGTGATATATGGAAACAGATCGGAAGCAGCATTAATTTTTCTATCTATCTATCAATTTGTTTCCAATGGACGAAAGTATGTTTCCATGAAGGGGAAGTCATTTTTTAAGAAGAGGAAGAAATTATAAACTCCCGTGACACTACCGTGAAATTATAAACTCCCGTGACTGACACAAACACCAAACAAAGATTCACAAGTGCTGGCTCCTCAACTCTCTTTCTTAAGTGATGCCGCAGTTTATGTAATAGGAGCATTGGGCGAGCTTACGACATAGCAATGTGTATTTGGCAACAAGAGTTTATTTTTAATGCCTTCTTCCAAGTAAATCTCATCGGTGATAATAACTCACTACGTTTTATACAGAAAGTGAAACTCTGTCATTTAAAAAATCATTTTGAACCTTAACCCAAAGCAATTAGCAAAGTGACTTTGTGAATTAATGTCGAAAACTACTTGACTATGCATCCGATTGATTTTTTATAATTGGTTTGAACATCGTAGTGGAAGATAATCCGCTTTTATTTTCCACGCGGCGACGATTGGACTCCATCTTGCAGAGAATGAGTTAGCATGATTTGTACTTAAATATGTTTCTGACTGAGAAGATTATCAATTAAAAATCAGTATGTTTATGTTCTTTATTTCTTTTCTAGAACAAAAATCGGCTACTTGTTGAGACATGTCATCGGGCTTGGAAGATGCTCAGATTTTACTGGGAAAAAATCTTACTCGATAAAATTAAAAATTGGACTTTGGTTTACATTATTAGTGAAGTATATTATTGGTACTTATAGCTTGAAATCAAGACTCACTATAAGCATCCATAGAATCTTAACAAACGTACAAACAAATTATTTGCTTGCCTTCAGTTTCGATGAGTACAATGATGAATCATAAACAATGTGTTGAAAATCGTTACTGCTAACCAGATCAAATCGTAGAAAGAACATCAAACATAATCACAGGCTACTAAATTATCTTACTAGTTCGTACATAAAAAATATATATTCGAAAAGATGATTAAATTTTTGAAATATGCATATCTTATCAAGAATGGAAAAAAATATGTCTCAAAACATGTATTTTTCTTACAAAAAAATCATCCACACAGAATATAATCCTTGATTTTAGCTTTACCATAACAATTTTTCTGAAAGATATTATTATCAGAATACTTACTAACCAAAAGGGAAAAACACAACATACTTTTCCCTCCGATCTTTCATGACTAAATGACATATACAAGACCCTAATGCTGACATTTCTTTACAATTTATTATTATGACATTTCAATGTCATCATAATAAATTTCTATATAAGAACAGAAAATTTGAATTTTTCAAAGTCGAATTTAGTATTCAAATCAATCAGGAATTCAAAGCATCATGATACATAAGACTGAAAATTCTAATTCATCATGATTATCAAGATTTGATTTGGGAGTGATGACGACAGCTGGTAATTTTATCACGACCGCAAGTCTGCAGGTAAAATACGTGGAACTCAACTGCCTCAATTAGGTGATATTCTAGTCGAAATTTGCCGGCTCTCCTGAATCTGTGCGAAGGTGTCTTCAAATGTCAGATCTTAGTGGTGATTTTATGCTTCCTTTTCAGATCTAAGAAAAGTGCCCAACATCGTACATATTCTGACATGCTGCCTAACGTGATCTACCTTATGCAATGATGTCGCGCTCAATGGCGTTTCAGAAAATGGGGGACAGAGCCGAGGAAACTCTCAAGAAAAAAAATAGAAGAAAAATATCATCAAATTGCACAAGGGCGAATATGCAGAGACTCCAAGGAAATGGAAGTCACATGCTAAAAGGCAACGTTGAACTATGAATTGGCACGCTCCTGCTGCTGAAAGGCCGTGATGGTGGGGATCCAACACTGAAGGCAGAGAGAGAATCCTGAAGCAAAGACCTCATCATCAATTGAAGATCAATGTTCGAGCCTGACTTGAACACATGCCAAACCACTCGTTGAGATTCGACTTACAAATCGGAATCTGCCACCTCCAACGTCACATCGCATTGACAAGGCCACAAGGCGTACATGTGAATTCATCCAGATCCAAATCACTTGATATTTCTTAGAAACTCGAAAAAAACTTTGAACATCACATAATTTAACATGAAAGTACCGGGGTAATATGGTATTAGGTTTTTATAACATCATCGTGAATTTTGTCTATTTTGAAAATTAAATTATATAAATAATAATGGAATCCAAAAAATCATCACTTTGTGATTAATATAATGTATATCGTAATATTTTCTTGCAGTTAGATGTCAATATTAAATTTTATTATTTATATTTCTAATAAAATTATTTTACATCTAACTGCAAGGAAATATTATGATACATATTTAAAATAATTTTACAAGATGATAAATTTTTTAATTTTATTATTTAAATTATTAAATCTTAAAAAATAATTAAATTTACAATGATTTTATAAAAACCTAATCCATGTTGAGATCTCCCGCAATCAGGAGAGTTACATGGAAAGAGCCAGGTTACAATAAAAGTAAGAAAATGAATTGTATTACATCTACTTAGAGAGTGTGAGAGTTACATGGGAAGAGCCCGGGTTACAATAAAAGTAAGAAAATGAATTGTATTACATCTAGAGTGTGTGCTGATCGTGTGGCCGATGCGTGGCTGGGATATTTTTGGGCAGAAAAGTGCAGTACGGGTCGTCAGGATGATCAAGTTGATGGTAGAGGTCCACTTTTGCCCAGGGTGGACTGCGATAAAGCCAACCGCACCACGCTTCCAGCCCTCTGGGGCGACGATGATTAGAGCGGCAGGTCGCTGTCTAGCCGCCTTTTGACGAGTCTGCTGACACAGAATGTCACTTACCGATCTCCAAACTCGCTCAAGGACGTCCACGACAAATGGACAGAAAAGCACTTACAGTGCAGCAGCAGCACTCTTGGTCATGTGCAGCAGAGCACACGCTTCTCGTGGTCGAGCGAGAGAGGGAGTTGGCCCTTTGCGACCATCGGTCTACAGCGCTCTTTCGTATGTACACCGTGTACTGCGTACTTGGTGTCTGAGTTCCTCCACAGACTGCTGCATAATTGGAAGCATACATTCTGCTCCTATGATCCACGGTACGGGTTATGGTGCTCGTCCTGAGGCATGATTTCTGGCTAGGCAACGTGTTGTGACACCGCTGTTGTTCAAGTGACGATGAGGATTGTGGGCGTCGTGGATTGAGCATCATGCGGCTCAGATGGCTGCTTGTAATGGCCATGCCGTTGCCACTCCCTCCCTCCAGGAAACCTGTCGACTCCAGCCAGAGCTCTGGAGTCCGTCAGAGCGTAAACTCACGTAACAACCCATGCAACTTTCTCCTCAGGAGTGCTACCTGCACAGTGGTCATTGCGAGGATTCTGGGATCGCTTGCCAGTCCTCGTTTCAGGAAAGGGAACAGCTCGTGCAGGGTCAAATCCTGGGCCTTGACCACGCGGGAATTGGGAGCTCGGTGCAGCAGCGGTGGATGACATCAACAGCATTGTCTGCCCACGAACCTAATGTACCCCATGTACTATGCTTTAGCTAATAGATGCCTCTAATAAGTGAGTTCGAAGGTTCCACGTACACATTCTGGACAAGTTCACTGGCTGAGTTCAGTCTCTGAAGTACATACAGTACAGCAGAGCTACATTGGTTGCTCTAAATTGCGCTGTCTCGCATGCCGGCATATCATCGTGAGGAGATTTTTCCCATTTTCTGCTTCTCGATGCCGTAATCTGGAGTCGCCCTCCAGAAAGAGCAATGATCTTAGTGCTATCTTGCGCAATCCATTCAACTCTCCTTTCATCTGAAGGCCTGGCATCCTTGTTGTAGGTACCTTCTGTAGGCTCGCGCTGACTCCTCTCATGTGTGTCCCTAGAGTAGCTTCCGTAGAGGAGCTTCGTCTTAAGAAAGCTTGGCCTTGTTCGTATTTGCCTCGTTTCTTTTGAGTGGGTTACTGTGACTTGTCTTTCAATGTATATTCAGAATATATACATCGCTGACGTAGTACCTTCTGATTCTTTCAAGGCATAGGCCCTGGTTCCCCGTTCGTTCTGATATTTTCGAGGCATAGCCCCTGGGTTCCCCGTTCGTTGCTTCCTTAATAGATCACCCTGTCGTTTTTCTATCCACTTGCCTCCATTTCATCACCCAGAAGTCTTGATTAGTTGGTGACACGACCTCATCATCGATCGATTAAATAACTTTGTATGTAGCAACATCAAGATCAAGTACTCAACACGAGCGGTGCATATATATGCGCACCAACGCCCATTTATAGAACAAGGGCCCTGTTAATAGATTCGTCTTGTTAAACGAGCTCGAATCAGACCGAAGTTACCCAACTCGCTTTACACGTCGTGTACTGGCCTTCAGACTGATCAGAAGATGGCATCAGGCAGTGAACATTGATGCGAAGGACGATCTCGCCTGTTGCTTCAACTCAGAATCCCTCGGTCAAGTCCCGCTTCAATCCTCGAGAGATCTCTCGAGGATGGTTGAGTAAATCGTCTAGGCTTACTTCTCCTCGATCTTCTCTTTATCTACTGAATAAGACTGACGCTTTATCGCCTTGAATGTCTCATAACAGTATCGGTTCGAGTAGCGGGGTCCGGGTGATCCGGCATGTACTAATCTGGTAGCCATGTGAAGTTCTTCGTCATGGCATGTACTTATCTGGAAGACATGTGAAGTTTTTTCTTCATAATCTGTCGAAATTTCACGTTCGCGATGAGACACCGACCTCTTCCACTGCCACCGCATATGCTCACGATTCTTGTTGGAGTCTGGAACTACAGCTAGGGATTGATTGCAGGTGTAATTGACGGCTAGCTACACTAGACTAGACTGGCTGACGAGATGTACACGTCAGTGTTCCCCATGAGTAGGGATGCCTGCAATTCTAAAACTGCACCAACCACAGGGAACCGGATATGAGGTTGGCAGTTGATCAGAACCATGTGTCCTTCATACAGTCAATAATTCAGCTCCTCGTCTCCCAGCGGTACCAAGTTACAGGCTGTGAAGCTGGAGCTGCTCAGGTTCCAATCCCCTCACTGAACACGCTTCTGATCTCACTTATGATCTCACTCAATGTTTTTGCTTTCACTTTCCGCACTGAAAAATCTCATTCTTACATCCTAGGGACATTGAAGATCGGATTCACTAAAAATTCGAACAGGTCTCTCTTTCTCTCGCAAGTAATGCACTTGTCGGTGCGATATCCACTTCGATTGCAACAGGTAGGGCGCAATACAACTGCGAGGGGGCTGATGAGGAGCTTGAGATTGCATATCGATACTTGAGTTTTATTTTGTCGTGACTATTTTATCCAAGAATTTAATTGGACCTGATCACAAACTGACTACGGACCAGATGATTGTCTACATTTATACACCGAGGTTGAGACTCGAGAGGAAATTACTGCTTCTAACTAATGGGAGGAGTGAAGCTAGTTTATCTGGGGTCGGTTTGGGTTCACAGGCTTTGGGGCACCGTTTTACTTCACACCAACCTTCCATGTCCAACTACCATTCTCTTGCCTTGAACGCACGAGGGGGTCATCGAACACGCTGCAACTTTTGTCCTGCAGCGGGGCAGCGAAGTAGAATATTTAGGACACTACTGGACTGAACAAACCCTGAGACACGCCGTGTTTTTCGCAGTACATAGCTGAGTATCGAGCTGAGCATCTAGCATCACCGTTTGTAGTACCCATCGTAAGCGCAGATTCCATCAACTGTTGCTCACGACTTTTCGCCGAGAAGCGCTGTCTTACCTGGGACCATCCGTCGGGAAGACTCGGCTCTCCAACACCTCGACAGCTCCAACATCATGCCCTTTTATCTCGATTGTCCGGATCTCAGCGCTTTGCCGATCCACGCTAGTCCTCCTATAAAAGTCTTATGGGCCTTGCGTGGATCCCCCATCTCATCGGCCTCTTAGGGGCCGATGAGATGGGGCACATCCTTGCCTTCTGAAGTACTCAATGTGTTGCCGAAGCTTCCATAGTTAGAGAAAGAGGGCCCCCCAGAAGCTCTTCCTGGACCAGAAGAAAGAATGCCCAGACACTACTCTGATTTACAGGAAGTCGCGTAGCCTAGGCCTTGGGGATATGATCCTCCTCCAGAGCTTGTACTTCTCTAATTTTCAATCTCCACACCACTCTACGGTCCATCCCCTACCGATCGTTCAATCCCTTACGTGTCCATGGACAATTGAGACGTGATATCTCACCCTTGCATGGACGGTAGAGAGCCCTGGACAGATACGACCTCGCGCTGGCTTGGACGAGAGGCTGCCTCGTTCATGTGGTCACGGGGAATATAACGTACTCATACTCTTTGGCTGTCGTGAGAATTCGAAACTCTGCAGAAGACAATGACTCGTCCAGCGACTTCATTTCCTGATGCTCTTCGTGAAGTACTTGAGGATGAGCCAGAACATGACTCTGTAGCCGACGAAGAAGATAATCATGACGAGGATATTGATCCACTGATGTACTTTGCCCGCAGAATATTGTGACAGTATCGTGTTGGAGTCGACGTCACCATACCAAGTCCCTTGTATATGTCCAAACTCGTTCTCCAGCATTGACTCGAAAGGGTACTTGAACAACGACAGATAGTGCAGCCAGATCCAGTATTTCGGAATATTGTTCCTGCAACATTCTCCACAGACTTGCGTCAGACACTTGGCGCAATCTATCCTCATGAGTACCGACGGCTGGGACTCCGAGTCTCAGATGACGTCATCGTGACAAAGAAACTTTCTCCCGCCCACCATTCGACCGCCCTATCGTAAAGGTCTGGATTTACGGGCGATTCCTACAACCCGACTCACTCTGGCGAACAACAATTACCGTGCAGCAATTCACGGGGTATGCACAAAGTGAAGACATTGACTGTAAAAGTCGGTTCTGCATTCATCGTTTTCTCGACTACAAATATTCTTCACCGGGTGAGAATATTTATTTTCAAGACTGGCCTGATCACGTTCGGTATCACATTTTATGGCTGATAAAGTGAAGTCAACAGGGGCGCTGAGTTCTGGGTATACAATTATGGCTCGAGAAGTCAAACTGTCAGCACTAATTCTGATCGAATGGCCAACAGATGAACGTTGATCTGAATTGTTGGTATTATGATACTCACGAGCTACAGATATCTCGACTTTAAGATCTAGTCTAATTTCAGCGCTATAAGAAGGCGGAGGGAATCCCTCGCGGCGTGAAGTGGAAATTTAATTAGATGAGGATGTAGAATTCGCAAAGCTACGGAATATGTGGTCAGTTGTATGGAGGGAATGTACCTCTCGATGAAGAATCCAGAGAAGAGGAAGAAGTAGGCGATGACCGCAGAGCATAGAGAGTTTCCGACCGTGAAGTTGGGCACCAATCCACTGACGAAGGACACGAAAGAGTTGGCGACGAGGAGGACCAGGAACACAGTGAGAGTGAAGAAGAAGAAGGGGCCCGGCTCAGCGACGAGTCCCACCAACCAATAACTAATGGTCGAGAAGACGATTGCGAGAATCATCAGGAACGGGATGATGACTATGGCGCCAGAAATGACGTAGGTAGCTGCTCGATATGCGCCTCGCGAGGTTTCTCTGATAAATATCTGTCGCTCCTCGAGGAAGATTCCCATGGCTTCCACGGATGTGAATATCAGAAGCGCCAGCGTGAAGGAAATGAAGGAAACCCTTTGCCTCGCTCCTTTCTCGCTTATCCTCGCTTGGAGAAACAAGGTTCCCATTGTGAGAGCCACGCACACCTGATCACGCCAAAGGAACCAAAGTTCATCAATCATCAATTATTGTCACAGCACTCGTTGCGAGCTTCGCAAGTGCAGGATCCGTGTCAGATGTAACTCACCATCATTCCACAGCGAGAGTAGAAGAGCTCAGGCGTGCGCATGACATTTTTAAAGTTGCGTGACGAGAGCACATATACTTCAGATATTGCGGAGGTTGCATATTCCGGGTGTGGATCTGCCGGAAAGTTTTGGTCCTCTGACTTTACCATGTCTTGCTCCAGATCCTCCACTCTTTTGTTCACCAACTGCAAACACATTCAGAATAGCACAATTCATCATTTATCCGACGTCATGGTGACAGAATGCAGAAGAAGGAACAGTAGATTCTGTCCGAATGAAGATCGGTCGATCCTATTACGATTACTTACTTGCAGATTGATGAGAGGTTCGAGGCCTTCGGCTGAACTTTGATATTCTTCGATCGTGTCCAGAGCATACTCGATTACATTTACCTGTATGAAATTCAGAAGCACGGTCAAAAAAATTTCAGAACACGTTCGTGCCACTATTGAGGCTTCCACTAATTTGATGCATTATTCAAACTGGTTTAGACATTTTCGGAAAACCAGCAAGATTAACATCATAGTCTGAATCTGGCTTACATATTCTGGCATAGTGCGGCCCATGGTTTCGAAGTGTTGTTTCAACCCTGCATGATATCCGTGAAAGATCACGTTTCCGCGTCCAAGAACAAGTACTCTGTTGATTGTCTCCAGAATTCGGTAACTCGGCTGGTGAATTGTCAGAACAACAGTTCGTCTGCCTGCCTTGGCCATGTTTTGCAGATTCTGCATCACATTCAGGGCAGACGTACTGTCCAGGCCTGATGTGGGCTCGTCAAGGAACAGTACTGGAGGGTCGTGAATGAGATCAGCTCCGATGGAAACTCGCCTCCTCTCACCACCGGACACTCCTCGAATCTGATAGACGAACACAGTCAAAGAAGCACAGATTTAATGCTCCTGATCAAAGAGTCTCTTTCATCGATAATAATCTTCGTCTGAGTAGGGTCCTGAGAGATTCGTGTCTTTCTGATTGTACTAGACCTGCATGAGAAAGCTTCCACCGAACAAGGAAGCATAGAAAACGAGGAATGATGGAATCTGAAGTGTCCAAATCCAAACAAGTTGTTGAGATGAAATGTGATGAACAGAGTATACATCTACTTTGTTCATGAGTGCTGCACTATCAGTGTGATGGTGGATGCATCAATGAGTGCATCACACACGACGAAGCTATCAGGATAAGAGTCTGAGTTTCTGTATTCTGAATGGTGTAGTTCAAGAGGGAATGCCAACTCAGTCACCAACCTTCTCGTTACCGACACGAGTATCGGCGCATTGCTTGAGGCCGAGCTGGTTGATCATGTTCTCAACACGAGTTTTCTTCTCGTCATAAGCCATGAGACCTGGGAGCCTGAGCCGGGCACTGTACATTAAAGTCTCGCGGACTGTAAGCATGGGCAAGAGTGCATCGTCTTGCATGACGTAGCCCGAAATGCGCTTGAACGATTCATCGATCATTTCGCCATTCGCGTACACGGCCCCTTCTAAGCTGCTCAGAGAAATACGCCCTGCAAGAGCATCGAGAAAGGTGGTCTTGCCGGACCCGGACGGCCCGACGACAGCCAAGATTTGGCCGTGGAAGGCCTGGGCGCAGATATTGTTGAGCAGAGTTTTCCTCGACGTTCCGCCCTTGCTTTTCACAGTCACCTGCGTCGACACGGAGTGCACATCATCAGGCGTTGACAGAGTTGACTGCAAGGCAAGACCTGAGTCCGAATCGTGTCGGGCCCGATTTCAACCTTGGGGCGCGATACGACAAAACTATTGCTGGATCTGGCACACGCATCAGAATGGACATCGACGTGGTGCAGATTTGGAGTTCGAAGCGCCACAAAGATTCATTTACCTTGTACGACAAGTTCCTGACAAAGAGATCGTAATATGGAATGTCTTCGACGTCCAATCCATTGGCAATCATGTCCAGAGCTGAAACCGAGTTCTGACTGCCGAATTTTCCTAGACTCGGCCTGTGCGATTCGAACGACTTTTTGAATGTGACCAATCCTGAATCTTTCTGGCTCCGCGAGTGCCGCAATTGGGCCAAATCCAAGTCCCCATAATCTCCGTTCCTGGACCCGAAACTACTCCGTGCACTTCGAGTGTAGTTTTTGTCGTAGCTCTTTTCACTCCCTGCGTAATTTGTGGAGTTACTACGTTCGAGCGACGGATCCAGCACCGGCGTCGTCGGAGTCTCCATCTCTCCTTCTGCTGCTCTTCGTCCCTCGAGCTGGAGCTCCACGCAAGCCTCGCCGATCGATGATCCCACCAGCTCGAGCTCGAGCTCTAGCGCGAGCAAATTTTCGATAAACCCTTCAGTGATGTCGGCCCATGGTCCTCCTACATACAGGGCGTCAGAATTCTACGCTGTAATCTCCGAAACTCACGAACCAGCCAAACGAACTCTGCAGCTGCTACAGACAGCAGTGCTCTGGTGCGACGGTGCGCACAAGAGTTGTACTGCGAACGGAGAACGCACACATGAGTTGCTCTAAAATATGGCGCTGGAGATTATAAAGTGAAACGCGGATGATGTTCTGCTCTGCTTGGTAATATTCAGTGTCCCTCTTGGAGTTGCCGGTCCTTGGGCAAGTTGCTGCAGCATTCGAGATTCTGTAAATGCGCGTGAGCTCCCGATCGAAACACGCTGGAGTGAGCTCAGAGCAAACCAAAGTGGATGTGAGAAAGATGAGTCTACGACTACAGCAGCTCCAACGACAAAGCGATCAGAGCGTACAGCCGGAGTGCAGATTCCGCAGGGACTGGATGTCGCTGTCTGTACTCGGAGCAACTCGATGATGAGACCATCGCACTTCGAGCTGGGACGAGCAAATTGGGAGCCTCCGAATGTAGCCGGACGAGCGAATGATCTGGGGCTCTGACTTCGAAGGGGAAGGCCCCCGGGGAATGGAGGAATTGAGAGGCTGCTGAACGTCTGTGTTCGTGAACTTTAGTAGTTCAGATTACAGAACAAGTCCTTGGCGCCTCACCACGCTGTAAATCTGGGATTCGATGCATACAGAATCAGCCGACCTGCGGACTTTCTGTCGTCCGTCGTCTTCATGTCCTCTCCCAGCACGCACTTAGTGAACGAGTTAAAGATATTAGTCTCTCGGCCTCGGGTCCACATGTCGATTAATATCTATGCTTTATCCTTCATCCGTCACCTTCATCAACTGACATGCGCATGTTCCATCCATTTTTGGCTTACGTGAAGCCTTGTTCCATCATAAGTGCACTTACAGAAAAGGCATGTCCGCAGGACCTCGACTGTTGTTTTTTACAGCCTGGAGTTTAGAACAATATCCCCTGGTTCCCTTTGATACCAGATTAACAGTTTTTTTGCACAATGTGTGGAACTTGTCTCCCCACAATTCATGGACGTGAGAAGTATAAAGAACGATGAGCGCTCGGTTCTGTCGTGCAATTGATTGCAACACCTTTTGTAATATCCAACGCATGACGCATGAAACATCAAACTTGTGAAATCTCAAGATGTTGTACCATTATATATCTACATCTGTGAACCCAAAGCCAAGATGATTTGCACTTTATCTTTCTCTCTCGCCACTATTGTGAAACAACAGACTCTGTATTCAACTAAAAGCATGCACCACTCGGGCACAGAAGCCCTATAATGACACTCAGAACTACGTAAAATGTGCTGGGTAATTTATGATTTTATCTATCGACTATCTGCAGCTTGTTGCGTGAGACAGAAATTTCTCCACAAGGTTGAACGAATAAACTTTACGTACAATGAATGAATGAACTAAGTGTGTCGCTTACTCTTGGATGACTGAGCAAGCAGAGTACGTCCGCTGACCACTTGGGCCTCTAAGGTCTAAGGAGGGATGAAGTGCGGATGTCCGTCCACACTTCTAAGTCCCTACAATAGATTAGGATGACATCCCACAGGGTATATGTTGGCGTTGAATTCGACGTAAGACTGTACCAGAATAACCCTACCACATAGCATATATTGAGATCCAGTTAGCTCGAATTTCGTCCTCAGATTCGGCACAGTATTCCAGCACCACTTCCCATGGCGTGTACGAAAACATGAAGGAAATATCAGATCGTGACTAGCTAGGTCGCTAGAATACGATAAAGTCATCGACTTTTTACCAATTATGAAAACTGAACAGAGTTCAGTTTTATAAATCTCAAGCTCTGTACGTTGAGTAATGATGAAAGATGTTTCAGGGAGTACATTTGACTCTACGTGTGGTTGACTTGAAACTAGAAATTTTTCTAGATTTACTAAGACTCTTAACTGTTTGCCTTGGAACTCTGTATCTAGGAGAAACAACCCAAGTATTTTTCCAAATGGAACGATAGAAAAAGAACTGCAAAACTTAAGTTGCCCGAAATGTTTACATATCATGTTTTATTAAACAATATCGTTTGCATCTTTAGTGGATTCCATACAAGGTTCGTGGCAGTCATGCAAACCTATCATTTTGAATATTCCACAAGTACCCCAAGTGACGTCAAATGATCATTGCCATGCCACTAGTACGTAAAACTATCACGGGAAATGTATTTTCGATCCATAATATATTTTATATATAAATTTATTCATTTGGTAGAAGATATATAACTGTGGGATATTTTATAACTTTGATGAATGATAGATCATAAAATCTATCATTCATCAAAGTTATAAAATATCCGACAATTTTATATTTCTCATACAACTAATTTTTATATAAAATATATTTTATTTATTTTACTATATTGATTATTTTATTCATAGCAACCAAAACATTCCATTGCCTCGTTTTGAACTACTTTCTAGTGTTTTCAAAACAATCTTCATTGCACCTCACCTATTCAATTTTTGAGTTAGCCTATTCACCTGTACCTAGACTGCAGACATAAATGAATTTGGCCTATGCGGATATTGCTTTTGATTCCATTTTTAAGCTATGGGCGTAAGATATATGACTTGAAGAGACATCAGTCACATACCATTGGGCCATAAAACATGTTCACAATGAGTTTTGGTAATTTTACGGAGATGGATGAATCTTCATGAAAATGTAGCTGTTGAGGCCATCTAGGATAAGATTTAAAAATGATTAAAAATTTCCACTAAAGCTTGAAAGTGAAATTCAACTTGGTAATCCAATGCACTCTTTGACGCCAAATAAAATTAGACTGTAAGTATCATGAGATTACACTTATTTCAATTACCTATGTCATACAGCCATTCCCAAAAACTTGTAGTATTTTTTCGAATTTTCTGGGCGCGTATCTTGAAGCTAGTTGCTTAGAAATTTTTCTGAACGAGGCGTGTGAAGGATTGAAGAAAATTTGCATATATGTAACGGTAGATTCTTCAATTTCAAAGTTGTGTTGTGGAAAGAAATTTCTTGACGTAAATTTGCATATATGTAATATATGCATGTACGTTAATATTTTGCAAACATTAAGTCTTGAAGTCCCTGTAAACAGATTCTTATTTTCAATTCTCCTCTTTTTGTTAACGGTTGAATTATTCTGTTTTAATTTTTATAATCAGATACTTGTGTCTATGGACTTGACTTCTTAATTATCCTAGGGTGTTGGAGTATTCTCTGGGTCCTCATGTGTCGGTCATGATTGGTTGCAGAGACACGATTAAAGAATAGAGGGTGTGGCAGAAAAGAGGGAGGTGAAACATTTCATGAAAAATTATTCAGTGTCATGTCTACCTCTGTGTGTAGTGTGAGATGTGGACGATGGATTGAAGAATGGAATATTGAGTCTGAAAGTAGACTAGTATCAAATTCAAGGTATAATTATATTTTATAAATAGTGTGCTTCTTCTTTATTGAGATTTTCAGTTGTTGATATAACAAAGTGTGTATTTCCAAAGCCAGATGACAAAATTGATCAACACTTCGCTTTACCATAAAGGGAAGTGTTGATCAATTATAGGAATTAAAAAAAAAAATGTGGAACCTTAGGATACTGCAACTCATATACTGGCTCATCTTGGAGTATATATGGTTTTAAAACATTCTAATGAAATATATATCAGTGATTATCAAACAACATATGTAGAATCGCACAAAATTATGAGCACATCTCACTTTAAACACTAAATTTCGAATGGCATCCTAAAGCACTATACTTTAAGATAAAAGAAGAAGAAGGGTTCAAGTAGATTGCTATGCTTCATGTTGAAAGTAGATTGCTATTTCACTTAAAAAAATAAAATGAATTCGGAGATCAGATAGATCATGCCAATGCAAAACAATCCTCATCTAAATAGAAAACTCGAGGGTAGTCATGATGCAGGTGAAAGAGCTGAGATACACTAACCGTGAAAGAAGTAAAAGTGTACACAAGCATGTACACTTTTATAAAGAGCATCTGGGAACCTTCTACAATAGTTCATTATCTTTTCCTTCTACTCCAATGATGATGTTGGAAATGTGAACAATGCTTTAGAACCACACTGACTGACAAGTCAATATGCGGCCTCGCCAATATAAGTCTAATCTCTGAAATTCTTTTTCCACAGCATGAAAGCAGATCAGCAGGAACGGATGGACTATGTAATTTGTCGACTAACACCAACTATTGGACAGTACAGAATCCATTCCTTACACCACTGTGAAGAACTACGAGGAACCAGCGCAGTGGATCATCGGATAAAAATGATCCAACAAGATAGTAATTGGCAATCCCTGACAATACGTCATCTGCATGACAAATGTCGGAACGTGGATGGACGTAGGCGAGTATCCATACACAAAGCGTCTCCAGATCTATGGCTACGCTGTACTGTACGCACAGTGGCCGTGGACGATGTCCACTGGGTAAAGACAGGACAGCAGCGACTGCGTGACGTCATCTCCTTGCATGCCATCAGGTGCTTACCAACCAACCGGTCGGTCGCGAACGAAGGAGCTTCGGCGTCGGTTGCAAAGCCGCTACATTAAGAAGCCCGCTAAAGTAGCTGCTGCTGCTCGGACACACAACACCCTTCACGCCGCGGTCCAGTTCGGCGACGGAGCGTGGCGTTCGTTGGAAGCGCCGCCAAAACTAGCAGTCGCTCAACGACCGCCGAAGTCCGATGTTGGTGGGACTGGCCCTCCGCAAAAGCAGAATAAAGTAGCGGTGGCTGGGGAATTGGCTCCTGTGACAAGGCGTCGTAAGATCTGGACCCGTCCTCTTTGGACATTCCTCGACGATGTGGGCGCTCCACCGCCACCCGCGGCTCGGAAGGCGTCCTCCCTTAACGTACACGACTGTAGTACCGCACCGAGTTGGTGAGTACAATACATTACCACGTGAGCCGCAGTTGTCGTCGTGTTCGTCGTCGTCCGCCGCAGTCGCCATATAGCGGGCCGACCGGTGTCGGTTGGAGAGCCTCCGGGAGCGTCGCCAAAACATCGTACTTCTCCAAATGTAGAGACAGCGGAAGGTGCTTCTCGCACCGCACACCAAGTTAGGTGGCTGTCTAGCCGGGTGGTGGCTGGAAGTCTGCTAACTAGAGCGGGAGGAGAGGAGGGCGAACCGCCGCCGAATGTAGCGGTGGTTACAGAGTTGGTTGGCGGAACGAAATAAACGTGTTCCGCCAACTCTTCTGACAGCAAAGTGTACGCTGGGTGGGAACTCTGAACGAGCGAACGGTTCGAAACCCCTTTGACCAGAAGTCAGAAGGCGCTTTTGGGGGAATTCTGAGACCTCCTGACGGACGAGGTAAACGTTGGCTTCCACTTCTGGCCACGACGTAATTCGTCGAGGAGGCGACGCCTCTTCGGGTGCTCGAGACATGCTCGAGCGATGGGCGATTCGCGAGCCCGAGTCCCATCATAACACCAGACGTCCAGGTGAGTCTATCACTAACATGGGAGACTGTCGGAGTCTAGACAAGGGCCGCGAATAGTAGTAGTGCATCGGCTTTCGACGTTCTGAGAGAAGGCATGTCGTGGGTCACTTTAGTCTCGAGTGCTGCCGTCTATGGGACTTTTATCTGTTCCATCTTGTGTACCATGTTTGAGAGCTCGTATTCGTGTGGTTTATATCAATCATTGGCCAGCGTCATTGAGCAGATGATTGATTGATTGATTTC